TAAGCCACTCCCAGTTGATCATTGTACAGTATTGCTGTTATTTTGTATAATGTTCTCCTGGTTCTGCTCATTTCACTTTGCATCAGCTCATGTAAGTCTTTCCAGGTTTTTCTGAAAGCATCCTTCTCATCATTTCCCACAGTACAGTACTGTTCCATCATAATCACATACCACAGTTTGTTCAGCCGTTACTCAATCAATGGGCATCCCCTCAATTTCCAATTCTTTGCCACCACTAAAAGAGCTGCTATAAACATTTTTATAGAACTAGGTTTCTTTTTCTTTGGTCTCTTTGGGATATAGACCTAGTCAGTGGTATTGCTGGGTCAAACGGTATGCATTATTTTAAAGCCTTTTGGCCATAGTTCCAAATTGCTCTCCAGAATAGTTGAATCAGTTCACAACTCTAGTGTCTCAATTTTACCACATCCCCTCCAACGTTTGTCATTTTTCTTTTCTGTCATATGAGCCAATCTGATAAGCATGGGGTGATACCTCAGAGCTGTTTTAATTTGCATTTCTCTAATAAATAGTGATTTAGAGCACTTTTTCATGTGACTATAGATAGCTTTTATTTCTTCTGAAAACTGCCTGTGTGTATCCTTTGGCTGTCAATTGGGGAATGACTCTTACTTTTATATATTTGACTCAGTTCTCCATATATTTGAGAAATGAGGCCTTTATCAGAGAAACCTGTTATATTTTTTTTCACAGTCACGATGACTGACTGTATTTTCCTCCATAATATTTCCCCCTGCTTATCCTTCTTTCTCTATCCTTTCACCTTGTCCATCCTCCAAAGTGTTTTGCCTCTGACCACTGCCTTGCCTAGTCTGCCTCCCCTTCTATCAGTGCCCCCTCTGCTTCCCCTCCTACTTTCCCTTAGGGTAAGATAGATTTCTGTACTCCACTCTGAGTGTGTATGTTACTCCGACTAGTTCATGTGCTTTCTACCCAACCACCTCCCCCATCTTCCCCTCCATTATAAAAGCTCATTCACATCTCTTTTATGTCAGATAATTTAGCCCATTCTGCCTCTCCCTTTCCCCTTCTCCCAGTGTATCCCTTCTTTTCACTCCTCAATTTTAATTTTTTAGGTGTCATCCCATCATATTTAACTCACACTTGTGCTCTCTGTCTATGTATATTTGTTTTAACTGCCCTAATGATGACAAAGTTCTTAGGAGTTACAAGTATCATCTTCCCAAGTAGGAATGAATGTGAGGAGTTTAACCTTATTGAATCCCTTATGATTTCTCTCTCCTGTTTACCTTTTTATACTTCTCTTCGGTCTTGTTTTGGAAAGTCAGATTTTCTATTCAGCTCTAGACTTTTCATCAGGAATGCTTGAAGGTCCTCTGTTTCATTGAATATCCATTTTCCCCCCTAAAGAATTATACTCAGTTTTGCTGGGCTGGTGATTCTTGGTTATAATCCTAGCTCCTTTGCCCTCTGGAATATCATATTCCAAGCCTTCTGATCCTTTAATGTGGAAGCTGCTAAATCTTGTGTTATACTGACTGTGGCTCCGTGATACATTAATTGTTTCTTTCTAGTTGCTTGAAAAATTTTCATCTTGAGCTCTGGAATTTGGCTATAATATTCTTGCAAGTTTTCATTTTGGGATCTCTTTCAGGAAGTGATCAGTGGGTTCTTTCAATTTCCATTTTACCCTCTGGTTCTAGAATAACAGGGCAGTTTTTTCCTGATAAGTTCTTGAAAGATAAGGTCTGGGCTCTTTTTTTCAGGTAGCTTAATAATTCTTAAATTATCTCTCCTTGATCTGTTTTCCAGGTCAGTTGTTTTTTTCCAGAGATATTTCCTATTTTTTTCCTATTTTTCCATTCTTTTGATTTTGTTTTATTGCTTCTTGATGTCTCATGGAGTCATTAGCTTCCATTTACCCAATTCTAATTTTTAAGGAATTATTTTCTTTATTCAGATTTTGTACCTCTTTTTCCATTTGGTCAAATTTACTTTTGAAGATCTCTTCCGTGAATTTTTGTACATCTTTTTCCATGTGGCCAATTCTGCTTTTTAAGGCATTCTTCTCTTCATTAGATTTTTTTGTGCTTCTTTTACTATTGGACCTGTTCTGTTTTTTAAGGTGTTTTTTTTTTCTTTTTTTTTTTGTGTGTGTATGTGTGTGTGCTTCCTTTACCAAGGTGTTGACTCTTTTGTCATGATTTTCTTGTATCACTGTCATTTCTTTCCCCAGTTTTTCCTCTACTTCTCTTATTTGATTTTTCAACTACTTTTGAATTCCTTCGAGGAATTCTTTTGGGCCTGAGAACAATTCACATTTTCCTTTGGGGGGCTTTGGATGTAGCAGCTCTGATTTGGATGTCTTCTTCTGAGTTTGTATTTCGATGTTTCCCGTCACCATAGTAACTTTTCGTGGCCAGGTTCCTTTTTTGTTTGTTTGCTTTTGCTCATTTCCCCAACTTATTTCTTAGCTTTTAACTTCATATGAAAGTAGAGCTCTGCTCCCACGATGGGGGGGCACTGCCCCAAGCTTCAGGATCTTTGTACAGCTGTTTTCAGAGCTAGTTCTGGGGGTCTCTTAAGTTCCTAGTTTTTCCGAGGAAGTATGATCTAAGGAGAGGCATGTTCATTGCTCCCCCGGTCTGTGCTCTGGACTCTGAGCAATCACAAGCACTCTTCTCTGTTCCAGAACTGTGCCAGGGTCCCCGCTCCCCTGTGGCTGCACGGTCCGGTGTGCTAGTGTACTCGTGTTCCTCCTTGCCCTGGGACTGCGACCCAGGGCTGCGGCCTGCCAGTGCCAGCAAAGGGAGTACTGTAATTTCCTTCTGACCAGTCGTCTTGACCCCCTTCCCTTCTGTGGGCTGAGAGCTTTGGAAGCCACCACAGCCGATTCGGTCACTTTCAAGGCCTGCTGTTGGTTTCCTGGGGCATGGCCGATGCTGTGCCTGGAGTGCGCTCCACTCTCACCCAGGTGTAACAGACCTTTCCCACTGACCTTCTAATGTTTTAGAACAGAAATTTGTTTCACCCCATCATTTTGTGGATTCTGCTGCCCTAGAATTTGTTTGGGGGCACTATTTAAAGTTGTTTAAAGGGGAATTTGGGAGAGTTTAGGGGATTTTCTCCACTATCTTGGCTCCACTCCCTCCACATGAGTTATTATTGATTATTAAACAAGCTAGTCTTCCTACCCAGCAGCTGGGGCAGCTCACTAGGCACAGTGGACATAGTATCAGGCCTGGAGTCAGGAAGACTTGCCTTCCTGCATTCAAATCTGGCTTCAGACACTTACTAGCTGTGTGATCTTTAACAAGTCATTTAATCCTGTTTGCCTCAGTTTCCTTATCTGCAAAATGAGCTGGAGAAGGAAATAGCAAACCACTCCAGTGTCTTTGCCAAGAAAACCCCAAATGGAGTCACGAAGAGTTGGACACCACTAAAAGAACTGAACAATAAAACTACCCACCCAGCCTGGGACCCCCCAAAGGAACAGCTCTTCTCTCCTGTGCTTAGAGCATCTCAGGCTTTATTCTCTGACTTTCTTCTCAGTTGATCCTAAGCCTTTCTTTCACATATTCATTCTTTCTCTCCTTTTTCTTACTATTTGCTCTTCCCTATCTCTCCTCTTTCTAATTTAGTTTCCTTTGATCTGTGGTTTGGTTGGACCATCATGCCCTTCAGGCTTTTGGTCTCTTACTTAACCCCAAAGCAGATAATCATAGGCGGATAATTTGAGTTTTTTGTATTTCTCTAGCTGACTCTCTTAGAGAAATAACAAGGTAGATAGTGAGCTGGACTTGAAGTCATGAAGACCTACGTTCAAATCTTGTCTCAGATATTTCTTAGTTGTATGACATGGGCAACTTAGCTGTCCTCTGTGCCTTAGTTTCCAAATCTATAAAAAAGGGATAATAATAATGCCTAACTCACATGGTTGTTATGAGGAACAAATGAGACAGTAAATGTAACAGCTCTCTGTAAACCTTTAAGTGTCACTTATCATCATCATCATCATCATCATCATCATCATCATCATCATTATAATCATCATCTTCTGCATTGTATGATGAACTATCTAAGGGAAAGTAGGCCTCAGGGCCTGGCCTCTGGCATGGCATGACCCCAGGGAAGGATGCCAACATTTAAATAAGGGGTGAGGTTATCCCCAAGCTGATGATGTCCGGGGCTGGGCACCCATCAGGACCCCTCTGTCTGATACATGCCTCCTTGAATATTGATCTGTGCTTGCCGCCTTTCTCAAGGCTGAAGAAGAAGCTGGCAGTCTGCCAGATGGGCATAGATTAGACATGGCATTTTAATGGAAGAGCCAGAGCAATATGGAAGCCGCAGTGTTTAGATGTCACATAAAGATGTCACGTAGTGAAGAAGCTTCCTAAACACCCAATCATCTTATTGAACGAAGTGTAGATAAAAGTCACCCTTCTAAGTTAGTGGGGAGACTTCTCTGGGATATGAAGTAAGTCATGAGTGATGACATGTGCATTTTTTGGAGCCTGCTGTATGTCTGTGGATGTATGCTGCCCCGTCAGCATAGTGTGGTACAAAAAACTCAGGATTTGGAGTTAGTTCAAAACCTGGCTGTGTCACTAATGACTTGTGTGACCTTGGGCTTCCCCCTCTGGGCCTCAGTTTCTTCATCTGTCAAATGAGGGAGTTGGACTAGATGATTAGTTTGGTCCTTGCTAGCTCTGAAGCTGTGACTGTCTGGACCCATGTGGATGGCCACTGAGAGGACGGAGTGATTGGACCCTCAGCACTGGGTCTCAGAAGAAGACAGGGCGTTGGGTTGTGGTTTGGAGGGATTCCTGAATGTAATTAGATGTAGAAATAGACCCCTAAGTCTTTCCTCTCCTCCTTTCCCTGTGGGTACCAGTCCAGGGGTGGAGGGTAGGGAAACAAGGGACTGGGGAAAGGTCTGGGCATCCCCAGCTTGGAGCTGGGGAGGGAGTGGGAATGACCCTAGAGCCCTCAAGATTTCCCCATCTTTGTTACAGATGGGCCACCCCATCATGGCCTCGGCGACACCCTCCCCTCTGCCTCTGCCGCCACCACCGCCCACCGGAGCAGCAGCCGGTGAGTGCCAGGCTAGTCTGCTTCTCACTTCCTGGGGGGATGGAATAGGGTGGGCTCCATGCCTGAGGACAGCCTCTTCCCTTTCCCTCGACCCCTTCCCACTTCCCTCTAGCCTCAGACTGCTTCCCTAGAGCCAGAAGGGCAGGAATAAGTCTTTCCTAGTATGAGGGCACTGGAGACCAGGATGGCCAGATCAGAAGGGGTGCCCAAGGCGGGGGAGGGCATCTCTAGATGGGATTCAGAGCAGATACCTATAATCAACTCATTTATCTGAGCTTGTGGAGGAAGCAGTGGTGTGGATCAGTGGGCAAGTAACGTGCTTGGCTTTCAGTTCAACGCATCACATGTTTATTAAATACCTACTTTGTGTAAGGCCTTGTGCTGTGGGGATGCAGTGTGCCTAGGTAAGGGGGGAGAGCAGAGAGGTGGAGGCAGTCTCTATCTCCCAGGATGGCTTCCAGGCTCCCCAGCCTAGACTAGACCCCGAGGATGAGAAGAGTAACAGCATGGTGTAGTGGAAAGAGACCTGGGCCTGGAGTCAAGAAAGATGTGGGTTCTAATCCTGCTCCAGACACTTCATAGCTGTACGATTATGGGCAAGTCACATAACCTCTCAGCCTCACTTTCTTCATCTGTAAAATGGGGTATAGTTTTGTACAACCTACCTCACAGGGTTGTTGTGAGGAGAGTGCTTTGTAAGCCTTAGAGCGCTAACAATATGTGAGTTATCATTACCATTGTTACACAGGTGGAAAGTAACAACCTCTATCCTCAAGAAGCTTACTCTCTAATTAGTGGCCAATGCAGCATGTGCAGAAACAAATAGAGTGGAAGGCAGAATGTATAAGAGCAAGGGAGAGGGGTTGCGACCCACAGTTTAAGAGGCACTGAAGGGGTTGCGAGTGGAAAATGTTTAAGATCTAGTCTAGATGGTCCAGATGAAGGGCCCTGAGACCATTTTAGGAAGAAGAGATCACTTCCCCTTGGGGGAGGACATTCAGGGAATGCTTCATGGAAAAGGGGGCTCCAAGTCAGGTCCTGAGAAGGATTTTAACAAGTGGAAGTGAGGAGGGGGTGGGATACAGGGGTGGACGGTGCTTTGAGCTAAGAATCGTAGACAGAGCTTTACAATCATGGAATCTGGTCCCCTAATTCCATGGGTGAGGAAACAGAAACAGAAGAGAAAGTGACTTGCCCAAAGTCACATAGTTAGCGAAAGGCAGGATAGGACTTCAACTAAAGTCCTATGGCCCTACTGGTCCTCCTTCCACTTCACCATGCAGTAATGGTCTTCTTCCCGCCTCCCTTCCTCTCTTTCCTCTCCTTCCCTCCTGTCTTCTTCCTTCTTCCCCCATCCCTTTCTCCTTCCTTCTTTCCCTCCTTCCATCCCTCCTTTCCTCCCTTCTCTTCTCCTTTCCTGAACTCTATGTGAGCTTCCTAATCATGCTTTGAATGAGCCCATAATAAAATGGGCTTGGAGTGCCTTGGGGGAGAGGGTCCTGGAAGAGGCCTCTAGAGCTAAGAGGAAAGAAGGCTGGGATGTACTTGTTCTGTGGGGAAGCCGCTTCCTGGGGATAGTGGAGAGTTGCTGCCTGCCTTGAAGCATCCCACCAGGTCCAGGCGTGATGTAGGACATCCTTGGCCTTTGGCATCTACCCAGGAAGGGGAAGGTGGGGGAAGGGCTGGTGCTACCAAGGAGAAGCCTAGGGACACAATCTCAGGGGCTACAGATTCCAACATGTACTGGAGCCAGTTCATGTGGGACATTGCATGCTGGGACCCATGCCCTCCCTAGAAATAGATGCACCTGGTGTAGCAGGACAAAGTGCCCATGTGAAGCCCTCTTAGACTGCAGCTGGGAGGTGGTGTTAGTGGTGTTGGAGGAAGCACAACTGCCTAGGTGGCTTCGGGCCACTTGGGAGGACCTTCCAAAATCAGGCCCCTTGGTCTCCCAGCCCTGCCTTGCTATGTATGTGCTCTGAGTCAGAGACATGGCCCAAGGCAGGACAGGTAGTCCCTGCCCTCCTGTGGAGGGAAATCCCAATGGCCTGAACTTCTCTGGCAGTGATGGGTAAGGGTAGTAAGAGGTAGTGAGAGGCAGGAGAGGTGGGAGCTGGGGCTGGATACGGCAAGATGCCCAGCATGTCAGGCAGAGCTAAGCCAGGAGGCTTCTGGGGCCTTCTTTCCGTCCTCCACTAGCTCATCACTAGCTGAGTCAGAGGGACTGGGTGCAGAACTCCATTCTGCTACTTACTGTGTGACCTTGGGCAAGTCATTGTCCTCTCTGGGCTTCCATTTTTCCTCATCTGGAAAATGAAGAGGTTGAACTAGATGATCTCTGAGATTTCTTCCAGTTCTTAATCCCGTTATCCCTTCTTAGCTCCCTTCGCCCCCCTTCCCTGATCCACTAGGGCAGCTCTTAGCCATGCTGGCCTTATAGTAGATCAGCTCCTAACCTGTTGGTGTGTTGGTGATTCTTTGCAGCTACCGGGATGGAGGTGGTGCAGAATTCCCTCTGGGTTCACCACCGCTGCTGCTCCGGGGTCGGTTCCCCAGCCCTTCGGATGGGAGGGGCAGCCGGGCACCGTGGGAACGCCCTCTCTGTGTGGACAGAGGGGCCGATGTCAGGGAGGAGAGCACTTTAGAGAGGCCGTCCAGCTCCAGGGAGTCTGGGGCCCCATTCTGTCCCCGGGAGGCCTCCTCTGTCAGCGAGTCCAAAGCTGTACACACTGTGAAAACTCACACTGAATTGGGAGGGGGGCCGGAGCTCCGAGGCGCTCCTGAGATTGCAGCTGAGTCCCCTGCTCCCCTGGGGTCCTGGGAGGACAGGCGCCCCTCTTCTGAACCAAAGCCCCTTGACACTTTCCACAGAGAGCACTTATCGAAGAACAAGAAGGGCATCGTGAGGTTTGATTGGTTCTCAGACCCTGACGAGCATGCCCACTATAGGGAAGAGGGCCAAGGACTAGACGGTGGGGTCGGGCAGTCCATGCGAGTCCAGCCCCTGCGAGAGGCGGCTCCCCCGCTGGCCCTTCCGGGTTTCAGGAAAAGCCCTGCTCCTGGGTTAGGCACGATCAGAACCCTGGAGGCAGCAGTGGTCACTGAGAGGAAGGGGCTGGTGGCAGAGCCAGAGGCGTCTCAGAGGAGCCCTCTTCCTGAGCCCCACCCTGAGTGGGTCCTGCCCAGGCCGGGTCTTCAGGCCGGCCCCGAACTGGCCATCAGTAAACAGACATGGACAGTGAATGAGGAAGACTCAGTGGAACGGCTGTCCCTGGAGCCCCCACCTCGTGGCCCCTATGACATTGAAGTGAGGCCCTATTTCTGTAACTTGGTAGAGGAGGTTGACAAGGAGGCACTGGGGCAGGAAGAAGACCCTGCTGTCTACACTTGCATTGAGTGTAGCATTTACTTCAAGAAGAAGGAGCATCTCCTGGATCACATGATGCAACACAGCCGAGGCCCCGGGCAGGACCCTGTAGGTGACTCCCGAGGGGGACAGGGGCAGTTCTCCTGCAGTGAGTGTGGCTGGGCATTTGGGGACCCTGGCACTCTGGAGCAGCATCGCCGGCTCCACCAGGAGTCTAGGGAGAAGATTATTGAGGAAATTCAGAAATTGAATGAGTTCCCAGATGAAGGACGAGACGCTCGACTCCAGTGCCCCAAATGTGTGTTTGGCACCAATTCTTCCAAGATCTTTGTGCAGCATGCCAAGATGCATGTCAGGGAGAGGAGGGACCAAGGGGCTAAGAGCCTGGGCCTCTCTGGCCACTCAGGAGGTGAGGCCCAGGACAGTCCTGGCCACCTTGCCTACAAACACTTCAGACCCAATGAGCCACCAATAGCCCAGGGACCATCCCTAGGGCTGGGAAAGGGCCTCCACAGTTGCATCCTCTGTGGTTTCCCGGCCCCTAATGAAAATGTTTTGAAGGAACATGTGAAGTATGCCCACTCTCACCAGCCCTGGGGAGATGTTGAAGCTTTCGAGGATCCAGCCAGCCAGCCTGGAACCAGCCGTGACACCTACAGCCCTGCTCGGCTAGCCCGAATGCCTGATGTGGACTATTTTGGCAAAGCAGACCGGCTGTTTGCTCCAGCATGGCAGGAAAGCTCTGTTCATTATGATCCCACCCCTGCCTTTGCCCTGGGACACCACCGGCTGGACAGGAGTGGTCGGGTAAAGAAGGGTTTTCCCACCCCTAGCTTCCATTCAAGAAAAATGCTTCCTTATGGTTCCACCCACAAGACCTTGGGAATGTTGCCATTCTCCTCGGCCAAAGTTTATAGCCCCTATACCTTGCATCCTAGTAAAAAAAAAAGTATGGCCCACCTGAAGGACCTGGAGAGTGACATGGGTCAAGACTTCCTCACTGGGTGGGAGGAGCTCAGGCCCCCAGGGTCATATACCAGTGACCTGGGGAGCATGGAGGAGGAGATGTCTTTAACCACTGAGATTGACTTTCCTCAGAACCGAAGCTTTAACCCTGTCACCATCCCCCAACCTGCCTTGGAGCTCAAGAGGACTTTTCGAGATGCCTTACAGAAGGCCAAGTCCTCAGAGGCACAGCAGCACCAGCTGCGGAAGATGGTCCCCATCGTCCTTGTGGAGGAGATGAATCTGCAGCCCCCGCGGGGAGCTTTTCAAGCCCAGGGTCGGTTGACAAAGGCCCAAGGGGCCCCCTCTTCCACAGAGCTCATGCTGGATGGGCCTATCCCACTGGATTTGTTGCTGCTGGACTCCCCGCTCGAAGGGCCCTTGGGAATTGACGACCTCTTTGACTCAGATTCCCCCATGCTGAAGAATGAGGAGAGGAAGTGCCCTTACTGCCCAGACAGGTTTCACAATGGGATCGGCCTGGCTAACCATGTTCGTGGCCACTTGAACCGTGTAGGGGTGAGCTACAATGTCCGGCACTTCATTTCTGCAGAGGAAGTGAAAGCAATCGAGCAAAAGTTCTCCTTCCAAAAGAAGAAGAAAAAAGGTAGTATGTAATCAATTTGAGAGTCTCCTAATTTAAAACAAGTATACAAAAACAAAAGTGGGATTAATTGGCACCCTCCTTTCCATGGAGATAGGTATGTATATGCTGTCCAACTGGGGATATGGCCTTACTCCAAGGCGTGGCCCTGGGTATGGCTCTAGACCTGGACAAAAGGTCACACTGTTATACAGGGACCATCCAAGCTTCATCACTCAGTGGGAAGGGGACAGAGGGGGAGAGATTGGGCAGAGCAAATTTTCCATGTCTTATGTGCTGAGCCCCACTCCCCCTCAACAGAACTAAGCTGGACAGGACCCCAGATAAAGGAGGAGTGAGGGGAATCTGTTGTTGGGTATCATATCATGGGCAGGAGAAACCAAGGAGCATCTTAGTTGCTGGGTTATCCATGACTGCTCCAGTAAGAAGGAAGGCTTGAGAAAGGATTTGAAAGGGGATGAAGGGAGAAGTATTGGCAGGGGGACCCAGCCAGCCCTCCTGGAACCAGCCATGATGCCTACAGCCCTACTCAGCTGGCCCAGTTTCCCAGCAGGGACTATTTGGGCAGGGGTGGGGCAAAGGAGGGCACAAAGGACTAGAAGGTCAAGGGGATATGGGGAGTGTGCACAGCTGAGTCCAGGGAAGAGGTGCCATCGGGGGGAGAGGGGGAGGCAGATAGAGGCTACGTTGTTAGTCCCCAGAAGTGGTTCAGGGCTAGGAGATCCATGTCTGACTGGCTGTCCTGCTCTTCTCTCCACAGTTGCCAACTTTGACCCCAGCACATTCAGCTTGATGCGCTGTGAGTTCTGTGGAGCAGGCTTTGACACCCGAGCAGGCCTTTCCAGCCATGCCCGGGCTCACCTGCGAGACTTTGGCATCACCAACTGGGAGCTCACCATTTCACCCATCAACATTCTCAAGGAGCTGCTGGCGGCCTCGGCGGAGCGCCCTGTGTTGGTAGCCCCAGGCCCAGGGGAGCCTGGGTCCCCAGGCTGTGAGCGGGAGATGCTGGGCTTTGGCCCACCCAGCCTGATGACTATGTCTGAGTGCAGAGGGCGGGGCTCGCCACTCTCTCCCTTCCCCCAAGCCTGGGGTGATGACTTGGGGCCAATCTACCGAGATGGTAAGAGAAACCCGGGCTTCCTCCTACAGCAAGATGTGTGCCTCCTGACTGGTTCCTGGGGAAAGGGGAGGGAGCCCAGGCTCTTTGACTCCCAGAGGTTCCTGACTAGCTTTTAGTCTGGAGCAGGTTGGTTTCATGAAGTAGAGGAGGCCCTGGTCTAGAGAAGAGACACCGTACAAGGTGGAGACTAGATTTTAGGAGTTTAGGTTCCTTAGTTATTGGTCTTCCCTAATTCTAGTATCTCCCACATTTGCAAAGAGCTTTTCCTACACTTGAGCCTACAGTCTCGCTTCTCTAGATCATGTCCATTGTACAGACATCTTTAAATGCAGATGGCATTGGGCAGGGAGGCCCTGTATGCTCAGCCCTGAGTTGGATACTGTTGGGGAGGCAGAAGGGGACATAGTCCTTCCTTCCCATTTAGTTTGGTTGGAGATTTGTAACACAATTGGAGGCCGAAGCAAGGTTGGCTGTGGTCATAAGTCGTTAAGAGTAGGGGCAATATCACAGGGTGACTGGACTGTTGAGCCTGGAATGCACCTTCTCAGCCATCTACTCACTTTACATGTAAAGAATTCAGGGCCAGAGAGATTAAACAGCTGGTCCAGGGGTTGCACAGGTGGTAATTAGCCAGTATGCAAACCAAGGTCCTTGGACTGCAAACCTTATGCTCTTTTCCATTGTACTGTACAGATAATGCATGTGGGCTGTGGGAGTCCAGGGATCTTCATGGAGGGGTGAACTGGGACTGGAAGTATGGGTAGGATATGGATAAGGTAAAGAGAGGCTGTGGAGAGCCTTGAATGCCCCTGACGTGATCAGCTGGGTCTTAGGTGATTAGGCCAGTAGCCTGGGGAAGATGAGTTGAAGGGGGAGAGGCTAGAGACAGAGAGAACTATGAAAAGGCTGGTGGATTAATCTGTGTGAAGGAGATGAGGGCCCTGACTAGACTGGGGATAGTGGGGATCTAGGATTTAAAAAAAAAAAAAGGAAAATGGCCCTGAGCCAAAGAAGATAATGGGGCTGTTTACAGCAGAGATACCTGGAAGGGGAGGCCTGCTTTGGGATTGTTTTGGGGGCATAGGGGTGCTTCTCTCGCATGCCAAGGTGACCCTTCTTGCCTTAACCTCTTGGTGGAGATGGTATCTCTCCAGGCTCCCCAGCAGGACTCTCTGAGGTATTGGCAGGGGCCTCACTAATCTCTGGGCCCTCTCCTCTCTAGAGACCATCAGCAGCCCTGGTCAGGCCCTTCCAAGCCCACTTGTTTGTGGTGGTGCCCAGGCTACTTCTCCTTTGGTTTTCGGGGTGTGCTTGCTTGTTGATCTGGAAAGCCTAGTCTTGTCACTGAGCCCTGGGATAAGACCTACCCTAGCTTGGAAACTAGATGAGGAATTGCAAAGATGTTTTCCACAACTCCCAGCACTAAAGTTCTGTGACCCCTCACTAAAGCTTGTAACCCTAGGGCACAGAGCTGGAAGCTGCTTCCTCCACATATGGATATCAAGTTTTGGCCAGTGGTCAGTCAACTAGCATAGAACCTACTATGTGCTAGGCACTAGAGATACAAAGAAAGGCTAACAAACAAACAAAAACAGTTCGGGCTCTCGAAGAGCTCTCAGTACACGGAGCCATCTTTCTGTAGCTGTCCTTGGCCCATGCATGGAGGGTGGGAGTGCGCAGTGTCCCAGGGGTCTGGGGGTGTAACACTAGCCCTGTAGTGCAGAGGTTCTTAACAGTTTTTGTGTTAGGGACCCCTGTGTCAGTCTAGTGAAGTCTGTGGATGGACCCCCTCCTCAAAATTTTGTTTGTTGCCAACATCTCTAAGTAAAGGAAATGCCAAATTTCAGTTAGAGGTTAGGGAAAACAAAGATTTTTTTTCTTCCTTCTCAAGTTCATGGTAGATCCCAGGTTAAGAAGCCTGTTCTCAAGCCACCTGAGTACCTGGCTGCCCAGCGCCATCTGCTGATCCTGAAGAAACTGTTGGGATTCTTGCCTTGCCTAGGGAGCTGGCTTCAGGCCTGCAGGGTATTACAGTATTTTAGAACTGAACTTTTAAAACCATCAAGTCCAACACCTTCATTTGATAGAGCAAGGAGCTAAGGCCCAGAGAGGGGAAGTGATTTTCTGAAATCTCACAGGTAACAGTGGCTGAACTAGGATTAGAATGCAGGACCTCCAACTCCATTTCTGCTCCCCTACCAAGATCTGACTTGAGGTCTTAGCTTCTTCCCTGTGGAGTTATTGGACCCTACCCTTCACCCAAAAAAATCTAGAGAACCAGTCCCTGTGTTTCAGCTGCCCCTAAGCAGAACTGTGGTATTTTCCTAGTGAATCAGTTTTCCCCTTTCTCTCTTGCTGGGACAGAATTTCCAGAGTTTGGGTTCTGATCTTAGCCCTCATCTGAACAACAATTTCAATTTTTTCCTCCCATACCCAGAATTGCCAGGCTTATTGGAACTGGTCAAGAGCTTAAGTTGATTATCAGTCTCAGGTCCTTGATACACAGGGGCAGGCCAGTATCTCATTCTTTGGGGATTTGTGATCCTTCCCTTGGGATCGGCATGCCAGCTTCCTTTGGTGGTGCTGGTAGATTGGATGGGGTATCCGTTCTCAGAGGCCTGAGCCCCAGTTTCTCCCACTACTGTGTGTCAGTCTTCCTTCCTCTGTGGACATTGTCTCCCCAAGCCAAGGGATGGTGGCAGCTCCCTCTGGCTGAGAGCCTTGTCTTTACTGCCAACCTCCAGGGGAGTCAGCTCACCCTCAGGCTGCAGGCTTCCTGTGACATCCTCTTCTCAGACTCTCAATGAAGAGAGGGTGCGTGGCTTCCCAGAGCACCAGGAGGCTGCTTTGGGAGACTGATGTCTTAGGGCACAGGGAGAATCTGGGGTCCGACTTTTAGACTTACTCTTGTGGGCCTTCAAGGGCAGGAACTGAGAGCACTCAGTGGAAGTTGTAGAGAGGCAGAAAGGCCGGTGGTGACAGAAAGAAAAAACAAACAATAAACTTTCTAACGATGAGAACAATCCAGAGGTGGAGGCAGGCTACCTTTGGTGGTAATGTGTGCTCCTTAACTGGTGGAGGTACTGGGCAGAGGCTGGATGGTCCCCGTTGGGGTTCTGGTAGAAGGGATTTCTAATCAGGGGGTGGGTTGGACCTAGATAGGCAGAGGTTCTTTCCAACCCAGATTCTGTACCAGATGTCTCCCCCCCCCCACCTCTTTTCTTGAGGATTCCACAGGTGCCTCAGGAAACTGGGGCAGAATTGTGGATCTGTCTAGAGGTGATGAGCTTGCAGTCGCCTGAGGTCTTCAAGCAGGGGCTGGATGGCCACTTGCAGGGTCTGCTACTGTGGAGGTTCCCTTTGTGGATAGGTTGGACTAGCCACAACCACCTTCCAGTTCGGAGACTGTGGTCAGAGACTTAGGGCTGAGAGCATCCAGCTTACGGGGCCTTGACCTGGAGCCCCAGTAACTGTTTTTTAACGAGTGGTTTGTTTTTTTTTTAATAACTGTGTTTCCATATAATTGTTATCCTTTGTAATCCTAAGTATCTTATTTTGTATTTTATTCTGAGAAAGGGCTCACAGGTTTTAAAAAATTGCCAAAGACGTTCATGGCACAGACTGTTCTAGCTCAGCCCCCTTATTTGCAGATGGAGAAATTAAAGCGCTTGGGGGGTGGTGGTGACTGCTAGTATCTTATATGGGACTAGCCACGGGTGTCCGGCGGGGCGCACCCCGGGGAAGCTACCCACCACTGGTGGGGGGAGGGAGCGAGGGAGGAGGCGACCTCTTTGTTCCAGCCTCAGGGCCTGGCCTTGCCCTGCCCAGTCCTTTATAGTTCACAAACAGTAGCTCAAAAGCATTGGGTTTGGAGTCTGAGAGGGCCTGGGTTCAAATCCAGTTCCATCCGAGCCCCTGCCTTTGTGACTTCGGTCACTTTGTGAATTCTCTGTGTGCCTCGGTTTCCACATCTGTAGAAGAAGAGGAAGGTGGACGTAGTTGACTTGTGAATTCTAAGAATGGCTTTTCCCTCTAGAGCTGGGCTGGGAGGACCCGTGTCTTCTAGGCTGGGGGCGAGGCGGGGTAGGGTAGGATGGAGTTGGGGGAGGGAAGGGAGAGGAAAGGGAGGGGGAGCGGCCCTCTGGCGCTCGCTTGCTCCTGGCTGGCGGCTAGCTCGGTGCTCGCTCTCTCGGGCCTGAGCTGCTCAGCGGGTTTCTCCCGCCCCTAGCTTCGGGTGTCCAGGCGCCGGGGCGGGGCGGAGGAGAGAGGAGGGAGGAGGCCGGCGCTCACTCGGCGCTCGGCTGCTCCCGCCTGGGGCGGCCGCCCCGCGTGCGCCGGACCCAAGATGGCCGCCTCCACCGCCCAGTGCCGAGTGACAAAAGCGGACGGGAGGGCGGCGGCGGCGGCGGGGCCGCGCGGGGGGCCCCGGGAGCGCGCGCCCGCGGGGGGGCCGCCCCCGTCCCTCTCCCCGTCCCCTTCCCCCTCCCCGCCGCCTACACCGCCGCCGCCGCTGCTCCCGCCACCGCCGCCGCCGCTGCCGCCGCCACCGCCGAGGGACGGGCCCGAGCCGGGGCTGGGAGCTGGAGCAGGATCGGGCCCGAGCCCGGGCCCGCGGGCCGCACCGGGTGAGGAGGCCGCGCCGCGCCTCGTGGGGACCTGGGCTCTGGCCCTAGTCGGGGCTGGCGCCGCGGGCCGCCCCTTCCGGGAAGGCCTGGGCTACCGCGAGGCCCCGCTGGAAGAGAGGCGAGCGGCCCAGGGTGGGAGGTTGTGCGGAGCAGCCAAGCGAGCGCCTGGCTCTGTCGCCCGGGCAGGGCCTGCAGAAGAGGTCGGGATATTAGCCTGGAGCGGCTCTTGCGATCGCACACCCTAGGCGCCTCATCTTACAGGGAGGAAACTGAGGCCCACAGGTCAGGAGGGGCTTTCCTCTCCTATTTGTATTCCTATTCCTGTCCGAAATATAGAGCTTCCTATCCTTGCTGTTTCTGCTTCGATGATGGATGGAGCGTGGTCAGGCCGAACCTTTCCTCCTTTCTCAGTCCCAGCTTCCTGATCTGTAAAATGGGGGGAATTGGTCTGGATCACTTCTGAGCCCCTTCCCTGACCCAGAGCTCATCAGTCCGGTGCCCAAGGAACCCCACTGTGCTTTGGAGATCCTCAGTTTTCTCTACTGTAAAACCAAAGGGTCAGACTACCCTGGAATGGGGCGGTTCACCTCCCTCTGGGACGGGCCACCCCCTCACCCTGCAGGTCTCTGCCTGCCCCCAGTGGCGAGAAGGTGCCCAGAACAGAGGGAAGGAGGGAAGAAGGGAGGGAGCAGGAGGAGGAGGGAGGGAGGGCTGGCTGAGAGCGTGCAAGCAAGCCCTGGCCTGGGACGCAGAGGCCCTGGCTTCTCAGCTTGGCTCTGCCCTTTGCTACCTTTGTAGTCTCGGGCAAGTCTCTTTTTGTCTGTGGGCCTTTCATCAGCTCATCATTAGAAGATTTAAGGGTTTGGCTAGATAAACTCTAAGGTTCTTTTCACCTCTAAAATCCTGCTGATCATAACTAAGGTTGAGTTGGTTCTCCCTCTAACCTGCTGTAGACTATGTTATCTGATATCGGGGAGGACCTTCTCTGCCTTCCCTAGTCCCTAGAAGTTCATCATTGTGGCCTTACCTGTCACCTGATGGAATTGTTTGTCCCAACTTTTCCTGACAGATCTAATTACTATAGAAGTCACTTATTTACTCAGGGCTGCCTTCCTACCCCATGGCCCCAGCTAACTATTGTCATGCTTCTATTGGAAGGGCCTTGGGAGTGGGCCTTCCCGGGTGAAATGGAAACAGGGAACAATCCTAGTAGGGAAGATCCAATCAAAGCATGTAGGGTTATAAGATTTTAAAATCAGAGCTGAGATTGACTAGAGTTCATCTAGTCTAATCTCGTGACTTTGGATAAATCAGTCACCCTGTATGGGACTCAGTTTTCTCATCTGTACAATGAGGGGGTTAGACACGATGTTCTGATTTAATTGCCCAAGGTCACGCAGGAAGTAAGTAGTAGAGGGAAGATATATCTAGCTTCACTAACTCCAAATTCAGGACTCTTTACATCCTGATGCTCAGCTGGGCAAGGTATACAGGAGTTGGCTAGAGAGGAATGAATTTAAAATTTGTTTTGGCTGCGATAGATGTGGTACTTTGCAGCTCTCAACCACTCATGCGTGGTGTCTGATTTTGTGTAAGCCTATTGCAGCTCGAAGAGAACATGGGAAATGTAAAGTTCCCCCCTTTTTCTTTGGGTAAAATCTTGATTGATAAGGGTGCTTAGATTCTTCTGGCTTAGAGGTTTTCATTGGATTCTAGCTACCAATCCCAAGCCCCTGCCTTTGTTGACTCCAGGGTATTTGGGGCAGACTAAGGCTGTAGGGAGACAAGATGAAGAGATCCAAGTCTTTGACACCAGGACCGTAGGCTTGGCTGATATCTACCATGTCAATATAGGGATGCATTGGGTCTCGTGGGCACCAGGAGAAAAACATAGGTGTTCTGTGATGGGTAGCACTTGGTTAATGGTTGTCTTCTGTGTTAGCCTAGTGTGTTTAATGTTCCTTCACCCTCTTGACTATTCAGTCTGAATACATGTGTGTGTCTCTCTCCTAATATTCCCTCCGTTGGCAGTTCTGGCCTCTGAGGAAGAAGAGATGGTGGCTGTGGAGCTGGCCTCACCCCCGCTCCCAAAGAAGAGTGCTCTTCCACCTGGGCAGCTAGAGCAGACCACCAGCAGGTTGGGTAACAAGATGTCTCCAGAGATCCCCCATGGGAGCAAACAAGAGCCCCCAGATCTCAAAGGTGAGTTTCTTCCTCATCTGAGACTACTGAGGAGGCTATTGACTGGAGATTCTCCATTCCCTCTATCCCCCACATATGCGCTTTGCTAGCGAGGGTGCTTTAGAGGTTGTTAGAGTCATTTATTTTGGTAAATTCTCACTGAGGACTGGTCATGTAGGGATTTCATTATGAGGCCACCAGCCCTCTGCTTAGATATTCTCCTCTTTGCCAGTCAGAGGGCTTGGTAACCAGCCTAAGAATTCACTTCTATAGCAACTCTGGATTGAGTCAGTTGATCATCTACTGTATCATCCTCATGTAAATATGGCAGTCCCCTGGGGCCAGGCCTCAAAGGTGCCACCTCAGGTGTTTCTCTTCCCAGCCTGACCTCATGTGCCTGCCTTTTCTATGTCTGTGTCTCTTTCTTGATTTCCAGCTCAGAATCTGACAACATGTGAGGTGTGTGGTGCTTGTTTTGAGACTCGAAAAGGCCTTTCCAGCCATGCGCGCTCCCACCTTCGGCAGCTAGGCGTGGCTGAGTCTGAAAGTAGTGGAGCCCCCATCGACCTGCTGTACGAGCTGATGAAACAGAAAGGAAAACCCGACAGCAGTCCCCTGCCCCCACCCCTGGCCAAGAAATCCGGCTCCCCGAAGGAGGCAGCTGCTGCCTCTCCCCGCCCAGGCCTGCTGACCCTCAGCAAGGCAATTGACAGACCCCCCGATACCCCCATCAACAAGGCCATCAAGTCACCCCCTGGCTTCTCATCTAAGGGCCTTTCCCACCCACCAGGCTCCCCTCTTCTCAAGAAGGTGCCGTCTGCCTTGTCGGGGTCCCCCCCACCCAAGAACCCTGAGGACAAGAGCCCCAAGCTGCCCCTGAGCCCCCTATCAGGCTCCCCGAAGGCGCAGTGGCCCCAGCCAGAGGATGAGGGGCCCCTGAACCTCAGTGAGTTGGGATTTTTTAAGCTGGGTAAGGTCAAGGAAGTTTGGGAGGTGGGACAGTTGGGGGAAAGGGATTGGTGGTGGGGAGGGGGCTATGTTGCTACTAGGAGGCCAGATTTCAGACAGCAGGACTGGTGCTTCTTCTCCCCTAGAGGGAGTTTCAGCTTGAGCACTTGCAGCTCGTGTTAGCCTGTGCATCTGTCTGTGATTGAGGGCTAGGATAGAGCAGTTTGTCCAGTGGTACCATAGGTCCCACTTGTTCTCATCCCCCACTGCTTTTCTTTGCTGCTGGCCCCCTGGGCTGCAGCTGCTGAGTGGGGCCATCTCTCATATTCCTGATCTTCCTCTGGGCCTGAGACCGGGGAGACAGCTATTCAGACATCCAGATTCCCCTCCTCCTGGATTCTGTCTGTTGATCCTTCCCTGTCCTGTGGCCTGGCTTTTCATTATGCATCAACTTGGTCTTTTTTCCCTCCAGGTCTGTGTGAGGCTAGCCAGGGCCCCTCTTATACTACCAGTAGCCCAGTTTTACCATAGTGATGCTGGAGGCCTTAGAGGGCCCATGGACTCATTTGCACAAAGAGAACCAGAGTCAGGGCAGCTCTTCCTTCTCATGGGCCTCTCCGCTGGCCTTCCCATGTCTCTGGAGAGCCCTTGCTGGGGCTGTGTGCTCCATGGCAGACCTCTTCTTTTGAGAGTTGGCTACGACCTCCTGGGTTGGTTGAGCTCTCAAAGAAGAGCCACTGGGTCTGACTCCTTGTGGGGGCCCAGGGCAGCTCTTGCTGAATCCCACTAAGTCCCCTGTTACAGCTTTACTTCTACTTGGGGAATACATAGGTACCCCACCTAAGAAGCATCCTTTATGAGGGTAGGACAGCAGGGCCAGCTGCAGGCTTGCCGTTTGCTTGACCCATTGAAGAACCCACCCTAGTCCTGAGAGGGCAGCCGAATACGTACAGCTCTGTCTCCTTTACCCTGGGCCTGTCACCCATCTAATTCTGCCTCCTTAACTCCTCCAATACAGTGGCTTTCCAATCATTCCATTCCCATGGGTGTGTGGGGTTCCCTCTGTCAGCTGTTATGCTTGGCTCTGTACCATTCACCAGGTCTGGGTTCTTGGCTTTGACCCAGGCAGCACACCCTGCCCTGCATGGCATCCCATGACTGGAGCCCTGGGCCTAGGGTCCAAGTTTGTATGGACATGGTGAGGGGCTCAGACTTCCATTCAGTTGAGCTACTGCGCCTCACTCTGAAATCATGGAGCTTTTGTCTTCAGACTCTTGATGTACAGAGTTGGATTCCCACCTCCCCTCCCCCGTTTGGGGGGGGGGGATTGTCCCTGAAGGACAGGTCAAAAAAACTCTCCAGAAATGAATCTTTGGTTAAAATCTCTAGTCCTGAGTGTCTCCTACAGTCAAGGAATCAGCCAGATTCTGTGGCTTTTACTGTTTTTTTGCCAGGAACTCTGGCATAAGTGGCTGAAACAGACTTAGTCTTCTGGACCTTCCATTGCTGTGGCTCCCCAGGGCCTGGCTGGGGTGGGAACAATAGTTTCCCCTTTCCTGGGGGACCAACAACATGGCCCCAGGGGAGCGGGCATGGTGACCCCCCCCTATGTTTTGTCTCCGCAGCTTTAGATAGTGATTCGGGCAGAGAGCTTGATTGCCAGTTGTGCGGGGCCTGGTTTGAGACCAGAAAGGGCCTGTCCAGTCACGCCAGAGCCCACCTGCGCCACCTGGGGGTGAGCGACCCGGATGCCAAGGGATCCCCCATAGACGTGCTTCACGAGCTCATCAAGAGCGACGGCTTCCAGACCCGCCTCCCAGCAGAGCGGGAGGTGCTGGCAGAGCCTGGGCGGTCTGGCCTTTCGGCCCTCCGGCCCTCGGCCACGGCTCTCTCACTGCTCTCCCCCCCGCCCGCCAAGAAGCCCAAACCGAGGGCGTCGGGTGAGGCCAGCCTTCGGGGGAAGCAGGATCTCTCTGCCAGCATATTCTGGGCCTCAGACGTGGAGCTGTCTCCTCTCAATCTCTGTAGGTTCTCTCTTCCACTGTCTCTTCTCCCCTCCAGTCCCTGCCTCCCCCTTGGGGGTCCAGGGAAACTTTTATCACTTCCCACTTGAGGGAAGGGAACAAGAAGGTCCATCACGTGGCTGGGCTTTTCTTTACCCAGGGGCCTGGGTTGTCACTGACTAGGAGGCTATTAATTGCCTGCCTCCTCTGGGAGGGGACACCATGTTTATGGGGGCTCTCCTGGGAGGGGAACCCTTGGTTGGGTCTCCATTGAGGGAGCCATTCCCCTGTCTTTGGAGTTTCCCCTGCTCAGGTTCTTATCTTTGCCATCTGTGGCCATTCTTTGCCTTCTGAAGTCCCCAGGGCCCTGTGATCATTTGGAGGGCGGTGTGGGCAGTTGTATCCTCTACTTCAGAGGTCTCTTCTAATGACGGCACTAGCTGCTCATTCAGGACCCACCACATTTTAAGGAGTTTGGTCACTATGGAAGAATCTGAGTCTCCAAAACAAGAGCAACTTGAAGGCTACTGGCACAGTCCTATGAGACGAGAGGCCTAAAGCTGTATCGGCCTTCCTCCTGTACTCCAGTGGCCCTCCTCTGGTCCCATTGAAAAATGGGGAGATAGGTGGAGATGGCAGGAACTGTCTTGCAGGGGCAGCTTGCTTCAAGTGCCTTCCTATGGGGAGCATCTTTCATCCCCGTCTCCTCCTGAATCCCTATTCTCTCTGTCCCTCCCTGCTTCCTGCCACCCTGCTCAGGTAGCTTTCTGTGACCCTTTCCTGTTATAGTCCTGAATCGGCTAACTGATCTCCTCTTATCCTTGGTTGGCTAGGACCATCTGGTGAGGGGCTGGGGGTGGGGGAGGAGTGGTCAGGATTTTGATGATCAACTCCAGCCACAGTTCCCAGTAACCTTTCTTGCTTTCTCCTCTTCCTGTAGCATCAGGCCCGGAGCCAGTCAGGGACATCCGTTGTGAGTTTTGTGGTGAGTTCTTTGAGAATCGCAAAGGCCTGTCAAGCCATGCACGCTCCCACCTGCGGCAGATGGGAGTAACAGAGTGGTATGTCAACGGCTCACCCATTGACACCCTGCGAGAAATCCTAAAGCGCCGGACCCAGCCTCGAGCTGGAGGACCTCCCAACCCAACCTTACCAGGCCCAAAGGGACTGGCCAAGGCAATGGGTGGGGGTCCTGGGGGTTCCCTGGAGGCCCGAAGTGCATCAGAGCTGCATGTAGCTCCCCCGCCCAAGAAGCTGCAGCCATCTAGCAGTCCCCTGGGCCACTCACCAACCACCTCTCCGCCCCCAACTGCTCGGAAGATGTTCCCTGGTCTTCCACCTCCCTCCCTCCAGAAGAAACTGAAGCCTGACCAGATGCGGATGGAGATCAAACGGGAGATGTTGGCTGGAAGCCTGCATGGTGAAGGACACCCATCTGATGGACCCTGGGCACCTCGTGAGGACATGGCACCCCTGAATCTGTGTAAGTTATTTCATGAGTGATGAGGAGGGAAGTAGGAATAGAAGAAGGTAGTCAAGCCAAAGGCAGATAGCGACACAGAAATCTGGGAGCCTGCTAGGAATAGGACTGGAAGGTGCCCACCTTCTTAATGGCCAGGAGATCCAAGACAATGAAGAGAACCCTTTCCCTATTAAGGTAAATCTGCTAAGTTAATGCTTTCTAAATCTGGTTCCCACTGACCCAGGGCCCCATAGGGGTTACTAATTGAGTATGATTATGGTAAGCACTAGAAGTCCACTAGACAAGGGATTGGACATGCTTTGTCCTACTCTCTTTGACTAGAATCTGTTGAGGCTCTTCTGGAGTGCTTGGACCTGTAAAGGGCAGGAAACAGGGCCAAGGTTAGGTCCAAGGTTCAGGGGCAGTTAAGTCAGTCAGACACTGAAGGGAGAAGAGGTTTGTTCTAGAGAATGTACTGGATCAGAGCAAGCCCCTAGGAACTCTTCCTAGAACAACCACCAGCCTGTCAGGAGGTCAAGGCCTAGATAAAAGAGCCCAGGGAAACATAGCTTTCATACCATTAGGTGTGCTTGGCACCCTATACCTTTGGAAACTTCCTGTATCCATCGTCCTCCCTCTTTCCCTGCAGCTTCCCGGGCTGAGCCGGTCCGGGACATCCGCTGTGAGTTCTGTGGTGAATTCTTTGAAAATCGAAAGGGCCTGTCAAGCCACGCACGCTCCCACCTGCGGCAGATGGGGGTGACCGAGTGGTCGGTTAATGGTTCGCCTATTGATACTCTTCGAGAGATCCTGAAGAAGAAGGCCAAACCGTGTCTCATTAAGAAGGAGCCTGCTGCAGGCGAATTGCCCTCACCCCTGGGTGAGGATGGGCCCAAATCCCCTGGGAAGGTGCTTCAGGCCCTGTCTCTGACCCCATTGGCTGGTCGTCCTGGCAAACCTGGGCCTGGCTCTGCCAATGTACCCCGGGAGATGAGCCTCTCTCCTCTTGCCACCAAACCATCTACTGGTTTCCTCACCCCCATGGCGGCAAAGCGGCCGCTGCCTGAAGACCGACTTCTCTCTGGGGAACTGAAGCCTAAAACCTATATACAGACGGAGCTGCCTTTCAAGACTAAGACCATTCACGACAAAAGCTCACACACTTGTAAGTTGGGAGTTGGTAGGGTTGAATGAGAAGTGGGAATTCGCATAATTTTAGCTGTTGGTCACCTATCCAACCTTTCATTGTTATCCAGAGGTGAGGGTAGGTGTGTTCTCTTCACGAGTGGTGAGACCCTTGAAGGTGGGGGAGTAAGGGCTAGATATCCAGACCCTGCCTAGTTCATCTCTCCACCTGCCTTGTAGCAGGCCTTCTTTCCATCCCATATACCTACCCCTGGTCCTTCTAGAGTGGTAGTATCTCTCCTAAGTATCTCTCATCAAGCCTCAGAAGGGTCTGGGTATCCTGTGAATGGTATAGTGCCAGCTGGAAGTTGTCTCAGCAGAGATAACTTTCTACTGTCAAAGTTACAAAAAGGGCCTAAATATGGTGCAAGAGGGGTGAGTCCAGAGTCATTGGAACACTCTTGTTTTCTCCAGGTGTATGCTGTTCTTTGTCTAGCTTTCTTCTGATAACTGACAAATGCTTTAAGGATTGCAAAGCACTCGTTCCGTTTTATGTCACAACACTTCTGTGAGGCAGGTAGTACGAGTGTAGCTGCCTTCATTTTGTAGAGGATAAAACAAGCTCCCAGAAATCAGGTTGTCCTTGGTCCCACAGCTAGCAGGGGCTAGAGGCAGAAATCAAACCCAGGTGGTTCTGGATTCTTCAAGTGGCCCTGTATGCTCATCCTCCCCTCCTTTTCTGCCCACAGCCAGCGAGGCCTGTTGCGAGCTATGTGGCCTCTACTTTGAGAATCGTAAGGCATTAGCCAGCCACGCTCGGGCTCACCTGCGACAGTTTGGGGTGACAGAATGGTGTGTGAATGGCTCCCCAATCGAGACCCTGAGTGAGTGGATCAAGCACAGACCCCAGAAGGTGGGGGCCTACCGCAGCTATATCCAGGGTGGCCGGCCCTTCACCAAGAAGTTCCGTAACTCAGGCCACGGGCGAGACGGGGACAAACGAGTGCCCCTCACGTTGGCTCCCAACAGCCTCACCCTGGTGAACAAGAACCTGGGGGGTGAGCTAGGATCTGGGGAAGCAGGCCGGACTGGAGATGGTGGTGAACGACCCCTGGCATCCTCCCCTCTGGCTTTGGTGAAGGCCGAGGAGCACCAGCGTCAGAATATCAATAGTGAGTGTTGAGCTTTGATTAGCAGGGTGGGTAGGAGGGAGGCTTTTTCGCTGCTAGATCTGTTCTTAGTTGTGTGAATGGGGAACGAGTGTTTCTCAGCAGATCCCCTCCCTTTACAATGTTCTAGCTGCTATTTTGGGGTGGGGCTGGCATCTGAAAAGTTGGAGAGAGGGACGTGAGGGATGACTGACTTAAACATGGACATGATAGAGCTTGTTTGAGTTAGCTGCCCATCTCTTCTTGATCTAAAAATTCAGATCTTTTCTTACATTAGCATGGAGCTCTCCTGCTATAGGGAGCCAGTACCAAAGTGGCTTTTTCGAGTTGGGGGTGCTTTTCTTCCCTTTCTCTTGAATGCAGAGCTTTTCTCCCAGGATCTGGGGCTCTTACCTTTCCATTAACTTTGAGGGTCCAAACCTGGTCTCCTTGCAGGCTCCTCCTGTCTTTTCCCCATTTTGTAGGAGTCTGATTGGAGAGTTTGTATGCCTGTATGTGTGCATGCCTGTGTGTGGATATGGGGATCACAGACCTGCCTTGCTTGTCTGATGTTGATTCCATCCCTCTCCTGGGTAGAATTTGAGCGCAGACAAGCCCGACCTCTGGATACAACCTCGTCTCGGGGTGAGGAAGCCAGTGACTTTCAGCAGAAGCTAGAGGAAGTGCGACAGCCACCTCCCAGAGTAAGGCCTGTCCCCTCGCTGGTCCCCCGCCCTCCCCAGACGTCTTTGGTGAAGTTTGTGGGCAACATCTACACTCTGAAATGCAGGTGTGTTCTTCTGGGGACATTGGATCCAGGGGCAGGGAGGACTTGAGGGAGGATTCTTTGGGGCATTTAAGCTCTCAACTGTGAGGGTATGGTTCTGTGGTGTTACAGGCATAAGGGTAGCCACACAGCTCTCTAGGACCTAAAATGGTCGTATGTACTCTGCCAGTTTATGTACTTCACTTTTTTTTCTGGGCCTTTGGGCAAGAAGTCGCAGTGCCATCCCAACTCTGTAGTTCTTGTAGTTCTGTGCTATAGACATCAATGGGGAACCAGCTGGGGGCTCCTTAGATGTAGAGTCATTAATGCCCAGAGTGGCCCACCTGTCAAGTGCTCCGGGATAGATTAGAAAAGGAAATTTGGCAAATCTACACGCCTGGGAACCCTCCAGGCCAAAAACAGGTTCAGAAATGCCTCTTCCAATAATTAATCAGCCCTATTTCTGCTTAGAAACCATTAACTGTTCTTCCCTAGGACTCTTGTTCCTTAGGCTTAAAGTGAGTCCTCAGTTCCAGTCAGTTGTCATAGGAATTATGCCTTCCCGATTTGAATCATTAGCTCTTGTGTGGCAAAGCTAATATTTGAATGAGTTGGAACAATTCCTCTCATATCCTCTATATCCAGTCTTTTATTTGTCTACATCTGGGGGTCCATGAACTTATTTTTTAGTATTATTTTAAAAACCTTTTAATTTCCCGTTCCAAATTCTGTCTCTTCCTCCACCTTCTCCCCCACTCAATGAGAATGCAAGAAATATGCTACCCATTGTGCATATGAAGTCATGCAAAACATATTCCTACCTTAGTCATGTTGCAGGGGGAGAAAAGCAAGAAAAATAAAGAATGTGAAAAAAAATGTGCTGTACTCTGCACTCAGAGTTCATTGGTTTGCTGTCTGGATAGGGATAGTATTTTTCATCATGAGTCCTTTGCAATTAATTGCATGAACTTATTTTTAAAAATTTTTTTTATAATTGTGTTTCACTATAATTAGTTCCCTTTGTAATAGTATATATTCTGTTTTATGCACTTAAATTGCACTTTTATTTTATGCACTTAAAAGCATGATTCTGAGAAGGAGTTATTGGTTCCACCAGACTGACAAAGTAATATGATAGAACTACCCTGTGTTTTATGATGATTCTGGTACGGTAGCTCAGTCTCAGGCAGAGGTAGAAAGGCAGCAGAGGTGCCACCTTCAGGCAGGTAAGGTTACCTGTTGACCTTCAGAGCTGAGGATGGGGTGTGGGGTATGCCACATGTGCAGGTCCAAGGCAGGTGTGTGGGGAGGGCCAAGGTTTCCCTGCCCTTCTGAGTGTTCGGGAGGGTCTGGGGCCCCTCCCTGAATGACCGAGTTCTCTTCCACAGGTTCTGCGAAGTGGAGTTCCAGGGTCCCCTCTCCATCCAGGAGGAGTGGGTACGGCATCTTCAGAGGCACATCCTGGAAATGAACTTCTCCAAAGCAGAGCCCCGGCCAGTGGAGCCTGAGGCCCCTGAGGCACAGACAGTGGCCGAGGCTCAGTAATGGGAGGCAGTGTGAAGCATTCCAGAGCCACCTCTCTTCCTTTCCCTCTCTCTGTTGGTTTCACCCTTTCTCTCCACCAACCTCCTCTGTTCCGTTTTCAAAGGAGCAAGTCACAACCTCAACACTCAGGCCCAGGCCCTGGTGCCCTAAGCGTGAACACTACAGATGATGATGAGTTGTTTTCCTAGCCTTCCCTTCCTCCGTTCCTTTCTTCCTTGGGCTTGGAAACTACCCTAGCCAGGGTATGATAGTGCAAAGAGGACATTTCTCCCCACAGGTTTTAGGGCAAAACTCGTACCCATGAGCACTCGAGTATTGCTTATGCCAGGAGGGAGAGAGGTGGCTTGCTTCTTTCTGTCTGTGGCCAAGCAGATTAGAAATCTGCAGAGAGCCATAGAGGATAGTTCCTCTGTTGGGACCCTGAGGGCTGGAGCCAGAGCAAGGCAGTCAGTCTCCACTCAGTTAATTGTGTGTAGAATCCCAAAGCCCCTGTCTGTTTGCTGCCTCAGGAACCAGGTGGTTATTATTAACCACCTGGTTCCTCTTTTGCCCCAGGTTGGCTGCATGATAGTCCTCACTACTTCTGACCTCTCCCCAAACTCCCAGACACAACCCACCCTCCACACACTCCCAGGGCATCTTGTTTCATGGGGGAATCTGCCCTTCCCTACCCTCCTCCCTTCTTCCTTCCTTTTTTCCCCCGTTCACTATCCTATTAGATGCCCGGTCAAACGAGTGCATCATTCCCACGGTGCTTGCTCCAGGGCCCTCTCATGCCTGGTGTGGGGGTCAGCGTTGGCCTCAGGCCTTCCACAATGCCCAGGCGGGGGGAGCACTGATAGCCTCCAATGCCACGGAAATCACTGGTGGCCCCCTAAGCAGCCTGAGGCCCCGAGAGGGGTTTTCCCTGAAAAGAATTAAGCTCAGAGCTGACAGCTTTCTCCTGCCAAGTCATGTCCCCAAAGATCAGCAAGGGGGTACTTTAGAGGCCCCCTCCCCCTACCCCCACTCTGGGATGGGACTCTGTTTTTCCCCCATCTCATCCCTTCTTTCACTATTGCTTTTTATGTATAGCTTCCTAGACCTTCCACTTTTTTAAACTAGTTTTGTGTAGAGAATAAGGAGCATTGATTTTTATTTTGGAGTCCTGGGCCAAGTAAAGCCGGGAGGCAATTGACCTTTTAACTTTTTTCAGTGGCCACTGGTTATTAATGTACCTAGAAGTATGTAAATTAGATTAAATTTCTCTTCTGGAAACACATCTGGGTAGCTGGAGGGGTGTGTGTGCGTGTGTGTGTGTGCGTGTGTGTGTGTATGTGTGTTTTTCTATAGGGGTGACAAAAGAGAAACATACCAAGGTCCTTTCTAAGTTAGTGAGCCCTCGATGGGTCTGAGGGTGGACAAGTAAAAAGACTTCATTGCTTGGGAATTGCAGCCACTGATCTTTTCTAGAGACAAGTTAGAATTGGACCCAGGCCTCTAGGGGTCTTTGGACTCAAGTGCTAGGGGCATTGGAGGTGTGAAAGAGCTGCTGTACTTTTCTGAGTAATGAGGGGCAAAGCCCAGAGCATTTCTGTGCTATAGAAATGCCATCACTTTGGCAGAAGGGATCTGGCCGGTGGGCAGGAGTCCTGTGGTCACTTCATACGGAAGAAGGAACACTCCCCTTCCCCAGGGGGTTTATTGGAGTCTGAAGACTAGTGCTGAGAATGAAGTTAGCATTTTTGACTCAATAAAAGAAAACATTTTCTAACAATTAGAACTATGCAGTAATGGATGGAAATGGAAAGAAGCCCGCCATCCCCAGAGGTGAGAGAACAGCCTGCGTCCCTGCATAGTGGAAAGAACACTGGATTTGGAACCCAGCCCTGCTGCCTATTACCAGTATGACCTTGGGCAAGTTACAGTCCTACTTTAGACCTCAGTTTCTAATCTTTATTAGCACTGTACTTGGCACTTAGTAAGCCCTAAATAAAAGCTTTTCATTCATATGTAAAATGAGTGGGACTGCATGGTCTCAGAGGCCCTTTCCTGCTCTAGATTCTATTGTCTTCCATCTGGTGTCAGGTGTCTTGGAGGGGGTGGGGTGGACTTCTGAGGTCTTTTCCTCTTCTTTGAATGAGCCTAGATAGACTGCTTAGATTCTCTTCTCCAAGTAGGGGAATTGGGAATTTTTTAACCCCTTCTTGTTAGCTCCCTTCCCCACCTTATTCCCTTGACTGCCTCACCCAGAATACAAGACATACCAGGCAGGGTCAGATTATCTGAGTGGGCTTGGAAGTCTAGTATGGGTGCCAAGGGATGGTTTATTATGGTGGTCTATCATCTATTACATCCATCACCTTAAAAATCACTTCCTTTGGTAACCCACTAAGGACCTATGACTATATAAATAGTTTTTAAAGCCTAATTTTGCCTATGTAATATTTGAAGATAACATTCTCTTGGGTATCTTAATCCTAAAACCATTTTCCTTCATTAATTGTGCTATGACTTATAGTGTTCATGGATTTGATGAAAAGAGCAAATCTTCACCCTAGGAAAAAAAGTAATTAATTCGCTTGAAACAAATAATGCATTTAATTATTGGGTACTCTTAGAAATTCAGGCAATTATGTGTGACTCTAAACCCCTTCTAGTTACTGCATATGGCTCTCAGGATGTTAAACCCTTAGGTGGTATATTCTTGAACATTGATGATACAGATTGTCCTTCCTTATTTGTGAGAGAGTTATTCCATAGGACCTAGAGAATAGTGTAATTTAAATTCTGGGAAGTAGAGGAAAGCTTTTGAGTTTTAAGGACTAAACTACGACGTGTTAAGGAGATAACAGTTCTTGTCCTAATAGGCACATCACTACAAAGGGATAAAATATATGGCCTTTGGGACAGAACTTAGACATTACTTTTCTTGATGAATTACCATCTACACTGAACATTTGGAATCTTAAATAAACTGTCTTAAATGTATAACCATTATTTGTTTAATCGAATTAGGAGGGTTTTCTATTAAAATAGACAACTAGCATTTATTAATCATGTTATGTGCCAAGCACGGAAAAGTAAAAAAGAAAAAAAAAACAGCCCCAGTTTTCAAGGAGCTCACAGTTTAATTGAGGAAAATAATAGTGCTTTGAGATTTGCAAAGTGTTTTACGATTATCTCTTTATTCTCACAACAACCCTGAGAGGTAGGTATTATCCTCATTTAACATGAAGACATTCGAATTGAATTAGGAAGGTTTTTCTACTATAGAAAATCTTAGACCAGTAAAATATCCTATGCTGGAAAAATGGGAAAAGAGCTGCTCTTTCTGAGCCTATTTCCCCTTTTATAAAATGGGAGAAAAGTAGATAAGTTTACAGTTGTCTTAAGCTATATCTGAGTCTTCCTGGTGCCAACCCTAGATTTGGAATTGGGTTAAGGGTTCAAAGCATGGTCTCGTCACGCCTGTGTGACCACGGGCACTTTGGGGCTGGACTATATGGTCTCTATGGTCCTTTTCAATCTATGATCTTAGCTGCTATGAAACCCATCACAAACTTCAGAATCTGCATATAAAGGGTCCTCCAAAACACGCATGCGAGGAAAAAGAAGGGGATGACCGGGGGAAAGTTCACCCGATCTCCACAGAACTAGGGAACTGGGTGGAGCCCCCGGGGAGGATTTGGGGCCGTGTACCTGGAAAGTCGCTCACTCGAGCAAGCGGAGATGTTCGTTCCCCTGAACGTCCCAAGCAGCGTGCGTGGGATACGAGACAAGGACCTCGAACTGAAAAGTTCGAAGAAGTCCTGGAATCCAGTCGGAGGCTAGGGCTGCCCTCGGCCAGTGGTGGAATGGATTGCTGGAGAGTGTGGCCTGAAGCTACCCGCCACCTACTGGACCTGACCGGGACGTCTAGTTAGGAGATTCCACCTCGCCCTCTCTAAACTAACCTATGCCCCGCCCCCGCAAGCCATTGGCTTCTCAATTTAACTACCACCTACAAAAAAGACGTCACACCCTTCCCCCTCACACACCCGCTTGGAGCCTTGGGCGCACCCGTAGTGCGCTTGTTAAGGGCCAATGAGGTCTTGTACTCCGGGGAGCCTCTCAGCCAATCACGGCCCAGTGGACGCCAGCGCAGGGGAGGAGGGAGCACGCAGCTAACAGATTGGCAGGACCTCGAGCCACTGACCTCGGATGACGACCTGCAGTCCTATTGCGGACGGTCGAAAGAGCCAATAGCGTTGGCAGACTTGGCAGACAGTAGCCAATTCAGGCGGGAGGCGGGGCCTTTGCGGGGGAGGGGAGAGTGGAGCACAAGAGGCCGCCGAGGCAGAGAGCAGCTGTGGAGATTCCCGGAGCTGTTGGCCGCTATGAGTTACACAGGTAAGGACCGTTCCTAGTCGAGGAGAGCCAGATCGAAGAAGTGAACCCGAGCTCCAGCAACAGCCGCGAGTCTCAGACGACGAGGCCTCCACTGTGCGGTCCGAGGCTTTAAGATGGCGGCGTGCCCAACTTTTCGACCTCCGCCCTCAGGCCTTAGGTTACGTCGGGCCGGACGCCCTTCACCTGGGACCCGGCTTTGATGACGCTGCCGCCCGGCCGCCGGGGCTCTTCGCTGGAGGGGCTTCGTTTCTTTTTGGGGAGTGGGCCCTTCGGCAGAGAGCGGAGGCTCAGGATTCAGAGGACCTGGCTTCAAATCCTGGTTCCGTGACTTGCTGTCTGGGCGACCTTGGGCAAGTCCCTGAGCTTCTTCGGGCCTCAGTTTCCTCTGCCATAGAACTGAGGGCCGGGAGGGAGGGGTTGGACCAGAAGGAGACGCTGGGGCATCGGGTGGGGGTTGAGCTTCCCTGGCCCCTGAGAGGGAGCAAAGCTGGGGACCGGGGCTCCGGTTCCCCGCGGACCTGCAGATCCAGGGCATCAAGGACGTAAGGATTTGGCGCAGGAGATGCGTGGCGGGGGGGGGGTCTACAAGCCCCAGCCTGTTCTGGACCGCGCGCCCCGAGCAGACGGCCGGATGGGCAGGGGCAGACTGCCGCCCCGACTCTCCAGCCTTGGGTCAGCTCCTTTGTAACGCTCGAGTGGGCTTATCCAGTTACTTGGGGGTGATCCCGTGATTCTTGTAAGCAGCTTCGGTTGCCGGGTGTCACACAGACACTTCCCTGCACCCTTACAAGGTGGTGATGCCATCTGCCCAGCCCCGGGTCTCCTTCCACCCCCACGGACTGTGGTGTTGTTGGTCATCCAGGCAGGACCCTTAGACAGATCCGGGCAGTCTGGGGGGTTCGGGCTTGGCTTTGAAATTGGGAAGTTAGGAAGTCAGGAAAAGAGAAGGAAGGAACCTTGACCCTGCAGTAGAGAGAGGGGCAGAATTAAGAGGCACCATCCCATGAAATTGTGGCATTTTAAAAGCCAGAAGGGTCTCAAGCATTGGTCATCTAGGATTAGAGATTTAGGTCTGTAAAGGACCTTAGAGGTCATCTAGAGTCCACTTCCTTCATTTACCCTTGAGGAAACATACCTAAGAAGTTAAATATCCAAGGTCAGTTTGTCAGTAGATGGCAGAGCTGGAACGTAGTCCAGTCCCTTTAGTTTACAAATGGAAAAATAGATCCAGGGAAGTTGTGTCTTCTTAAGTGTCCTGTAGGACAGCATAGGTCTAAGGTCCATTTAACTCACCTAAAGAAAATCATTGGGGGGGGGCAGCTAAGAGCACCGAGCCTGGAGTCAGGAGGACCTGAGTTCAAATTTGGCCTCAGACACAAAACTCGCACTAGCTGTGTGACTCTGGGCGAGTCACTTAACCCCAGTTGCCTCATATTAAAATAAAAAACAAACATAAAAAAATCATTTGGGGAGGGGTAGGTGATAGTTATGCCAAACAGAAGTTACTGTGAACACTAGAAATTATGACCTAGAGAAGTTGAAATGTGAGATGGCATGTTTTAAAGTGCAGAAAGCTGTCATATTTGAGTGGATCTTGAAATCAATCCAGTGGCTCTCTATTACCTCCAAGACCAAATATTAAATCTTTTTTTGGTCTTTAAAAGCCCTTGATAACCTAGCCCCTTTCACCCTTTCTAGTCTTATGCCTTACTCCTACCAACCCCGCAAGGACTTTGCAGTCCCCTGACATTGATTTCCTTGTGCTTCCTCCTACAAGGCACTTCAAATGTGGATTTTTACTGCTCTTCCCCCATTCCTGGAATTTCCCCTCATCTTCATCTCCTGTCTTCCTTCAGATCCCAGCTAAAATCCTGCCTTCTACAAGTGGTCTTTCTTGATCCTCCTTAATACTAGCATCTTCCTTCCTAACATTATCTCCAGTTTATACTCTGTATATTTTGTTTGTCCATAGACATTTGCACGTTGTTTCCCTCATTAGAGATTCTTGAGAGCAGTGGCTCTTTTTTGGGTTGTTTTTCCCCACCTTCCTTTATGTCTTAGCACAGTGTTTGGCACATAGTAGGCACTTAATGCTTATTGAAATGACTTGAAACAACAAGCATCAGTTAATTAAATTTCATAGACTAGGCTCTGTGTTCAGTGCTAGGGCCACAAAGGGGAAAACAGTCTCTGCCTTAAAGGGAGCGAACTTTCTAATGGGAGAAGTGTGAGTGTGAGTAAATACACTCTTCTGGGAGGCCGAGACCCACAGTTTACGAAGCCCTGCTCTAGATGATTATAAAGTAGAAGCAACTGACTTAGATAGTATCTGCTGCGCAGAGTTATTTTTATGTGGCAAAGTTAATGAAGTACTGATTTGGTTTTTCTAGTTCTTTAATAACATGTTTTTATGAAAAGAGGAAGGAATTTTCAGGTTCTGGGAAACAAACTGTACTTATGCTTCTAACCTTGAGGCAGATCTTGTTTGCTAATGCTTATTTACACAATAAACTGTTAATTCTAGTTCCTTTGACTTTATTAGCTTTTACCCTTCCTCTTCAGACCTGCTGGAGGCCTTTGAAAACCAAATTGCTTTCTACCTTTGTGGCCTCACAACTGCTGAAAGAAAGGCTTTGTTTGGCTTTTTGATCTTGAGAAAATTGCAGGTGCCTTTGTTCTTATAGTCTTCCTGGAATAAACAAGGTTTATGAAATCAACAAAACATTTATTAAACTTTTAAAATCGAGCCTATTTTGGAGTAAGACCAGAATTTAGTAGTTCAATTTCTTCACCCATCAGTTCCCTAGAAATGGTTGATGTATTATTGTGCAAAAACAAATTATGTGCAAGGCTTAGTGCTAGATGTTGGTGCTGGGATAAATAAAGCATGGTCCCTTGACCTTAAAGAGCATATAATCAGTGGAGATTTGAGTTTGTTAAAACAGTGCCATGATACATTACAACTAAGTCAATAAATATTTTCTTATTATGCTCAAGGCACTTGAGGGAAATATACTTGTGTAATCTTTCTTTGAGCTATTTTATAAATAGACTCTAATAGGCCAGGTGCTAGCTCCAGCTCATTTTTTGCCAGTGTTCACAGTAGTCAATGCCAGGATTACTCCTTAAATACTAAAGAACAGTTGACTATAATATATGTATATAGCTCAGTTCATAATATTAATCACATTTCTAGACAAAGGGGCAACTATTGAATAACGAGATTTAAACAAAGTCATATTAATTAGTTTACCAAAGTTGATTCAAGCACCTGGATTCATTGTTATAGTGACTCTCTAGGTTTTAATAGCACTGGCATTTTCTACACATTTAAATAGAATATTTTCTTTTGGATTAAGTTGAAAATTTTGAGGGGAAAATTGAAAAATACAGTAACATTTACACAATCATCAATAAATAAAAGAGACTACTTGAATCTTATTTTGATATGGTTGAATGTCCTTTTTTCTCTCATTGATTTTTAACAAAATAGTTTAAAATGTAAAAACTTGCTTGTTGAAATACATATATGTTTAAAATTGGGAAGTCATGATACTGATGTTTCTGGTCGTCTTCACCTACCTTAAATTTAAATTTAAATTCCTCTTAAGTTAAATGAGTATAAGTGGTTGATCATGGCCATAATACTATTTCAGGGATACCAATTTTTTTTCCTTTTAATAGTTTGATTCTCTAGTAATTTTATAGATGTTAGCTTGTTATTTTTGCTGAATGAAGTAACCATATCATTGGAGGAATTCTTGATCTGAAAGCATCTGCACATATATGCCTTTTCCAACATCTTTTTTATCTGTTCAAAAGACCTCCAGTGATAACAATGTACTCTGATTCAGGGGTGGGGAACCTGTAAGCTCCAGGCCACACATGGTCCTCTAGGTCCTCAAGTTTGTCCCATTGACTGAATTCAAACTTCACTGAACAAATCCCATTAATAAAAGGATTTACTTATTCAGTAAAACTTGGCCCCAGTCAAAAGGCTGTACTCAAGGATCTAGAAGGCCACCCGTGGCCTCGAGGCCACAGGTTCCCCATCCCTACTAACTCAAACTAACCCATTTCATTTTTGGACAGCTCTTAATTGGCCAGAAATTTTTCCTTTGTAATGAAGGGAAATCATCCTTGTACTTTCCTTCTGTAATTCCTGTGTCTTCCCTCTGTGGCCAAACAAAACAAATCTTACAATTTCTTCCTTAAAACAACAATTATAATTCTCCTTAAGTCTCTTTTTCTGTCCTAAGTATTACAGTTCCTTCATATGACATGATTTCGAATTATAACTTTGTTTGCTATTGAAGCTACCAAATTAATTTTGAAAGGTACTTTTTAATGCAAGCCCCCTCTTTTTTAAAAAAAAATTATATAAGGTGTCTACTTTCTGGTTCAAATGTACTTCTATAGTGAGGTCATTTTACAAACAGGAATACATTTATAAGAAAAAAATTAAGTTTGAGTCTTCCTCATTAATGATTTAAAAGAAATTCCTTGTTTATTGATATGAGTGTGTGTGTGTGTGTGTGTGTGTGTGTGTGTGTAGGTGTAGGAAAGGGATGGTTATCAATTCCATGCATTTCTCTTGAGTGATGATGCTACTTTACATGTCTCTAGGTTTTGTTCAAGGATCCGAAACAACTCTACAATCCACATATTCTGATACTACTGCCCAGCCCACATGTGACTATGGTAAGTCTAGATTTCTCATATTCAAACTGGGAAGAAAAGTGGCCAAGATTGGGATTTGGTGGCCAAAGACAGCAGATGACCCTTGCTTCATTGGCAAGGTTAAACTTTCTGCATATATAATGCCTACCTGTGTAAAAGTCTTAAGATTTTAGTTAGAAATTTTATGCTTCTGTGTTGGACACTTGAAGGAAATACGTTAGTATTGATAGGATGGAAACTTTGAGTCCCTCTCTACTTCTGCCAGCCTCCGGGTACATCTAGCAAGGTAGGCAGGGATGTCCTTCAAAGTATTTCTGCACTATTAAATATAGAACAATATCAAGGTAATCATTGAGAAAATCAGTGTGGGGGAATGAAGTAATTGGTTAAAGTTTAGGAGATTGGTTCCAGTAGACACCAAGTAATTAAATTTTGCCCAGGGTAGTAAACTGACCTCTTGAAATGGAGACTTTTGCTTTTCTGTAAAATGAGGTAAAAGAGCCAGATGGCTTTTTAGAGATAGAACTGGAAGGAGCCTCAGATCCTATGATCCAAGCTAGTTAACTTCTGAAACACTTCTAAGAGTGTTTCATAAACTTAGGGTAGTCCAGCTATGCCAAATCATTAGAGCGCTTTTTACTGCGTTTTACACATGATCTAGATTGAACTCTGTACTATGAATTCTCTACCACTAGAGTACAGCAGTTAAATTCTTGTCCAAATGTAGATCAGCTCTCTAATATTCAAGTAATCACATGATTGGCCCCTTATCAAGTTTATGGTCAGCTAAAAGAAGATATAGTCTCCTTCATTATCTGTTTGTGAAGTTGATATTTTTAAAAATCTAAATATTTATTTCAGTGGATCCCCAATTGCATTAGTGTGGATATTCTTTTCACTAGTACCCATTGCAAATCCATCATACTTTCTCATTCTGAGAATTTTCTGCTCATGTCTCCCTCTTTGTACAGAGAACCTCATACTCTGCCCCTGAAAGGAGGATCTCTAATGGGTGAACTTTTATTTTATAAAATTAGGTATTTGCAAAGTGCTGCTGTCATCATTATCATCACCATCATCTTGCCTAGAGCCAAGCCTCCAAAACTTCCTGGTGTTTTGAATGCTTTCCCCCCCCCCCCCACTCTTCCCCTTCCTTTATTGGAATGTAAGTTCCCTGAGGCAGATACTTGTCTTGTCTGATTGCTTTTGCATTGCCAGCACATAACACTGTGCCAATGCTTTATTTATTCCTTGTCATCAGTAAATCTTTTATAGAAGCTTTGTACAGTGCATAGGAAACCTTCCTCTGTTTTTTCAATAATCCTTTGAGAACATGTGGCCTATCCTTTGATGATTCCCTTGATCTTGCTGCAGGAAGGGCCTACTTCCTTTTCTATACTCAGGCATAGACTTAGAGCTGGAAGTGACTTCAAAGGTCATCCAGCCCAACGATGAAATGATTCATTCACGATCTCACAGGAAGTATTTGAACAGAGCTTTTCTGACTAAAAAGCAATCTTCTCACTGTACCATGCCTCTGTTTCTAGCTCTGTCATAGGATGTAGGGGTTAAAAGGGTGTTGGGGTCATCTAGTCAGAATCTCAGATTTGGAGGAGACACCATAGGTAATCTTGACACACACACCACACACACACACACACACACACACACAACACACACACCACACACCCACCAACCACACAACCCCCCCCCCCATCTAGTCACCTTGCCTCTCTTGCTGTTGTGGCTACTGCTGTTGTTCCTTCATTCTTCTTTCTGTTCCTTACACAAAGGCACTGTTTCCCAACTCTGCATTCTTTCACTCCCTGTCTCTATCTCCTGCCTTCCTTCAAGTCCCAGCTAAAGTCCCACCTTTTACAAGAGTCTTTCCCCAGACCTCCTGAATGCTAGTATGTTGTTGATTTTCTCTTAATTTATCCTGTATATAACTAATGTTTATATATTAACTACTGTGTGCCAGGTACTGTGCTAAGTCCTTTACAAGTATTATCTCATTTGATCCTCAGAACAACACTAGGACTTAAGTGCTGTTGTTATTGTTCAGTCCTCTCAGTCATAACCAACGCTTAGTGACCCAATTTGGGGTTTTCTTGGCAATGATAGTGGAGTGGTTTGCCATTTCCTTTTCCAGCTCATTTTACAAATGAGGAAACTGAGGCAAATGGAGGTTAAGTGACTTGCCCAGGGTCTCACAGCTAGTAAGTGTCTCGTGGGAATTTAAACTTAGTTCTTCTGATTCCAGGCACTGCACTCTAACCGCTGTGCCACCTAGCTGCCTGGTTTGTACATAGTTGTTTGCATGTTGTCTTCCCCATTAGACTGTGATATCCTTGGAAACAGGAGCTGTTTGGCCTTTCTTAGTATCTCCTGTGCTTAGCACAGTCCCTGGCACATAGTAGGCACTTAAATGACCTGACAAACAAGACTTCCATTCTGTGATTGAGTTTGTCATCTAGCCTTTGCTAGAAAAACCTCCAGTGGGGGTACGAATTCTTTGCCCAAGGCAGCCCATTCACATTCCAGTTTTGGATAGTTCTAATTGGTAGGCTTGATTAAGGAAAAACTTCCTGAATTTGCTTTTCTATAACTTTTGTCTTCTATTCTTACCTCTCTTCTCTGGGGGCAAGCAGAACGAGTCTAATCCTATTAGCATAGAACAACCCTGTAAATGCTGGGAAAGGCCTCCGATGGGGTAATTCCCTCTGCCTCCTTCCCTGCTTTTGCCCCTATTTTCTAAAACTGATGTTTACAAGTCATGAACTGCAGTCCAACTATCTTGGTTGCCCTCCTCTGGCCATTCCTGAAATGTGTCACCCAGAACTGAATGCTGTTCTGGAAGTGGTCAGACCAGGGCAGAGTTGGTTGGTTGATTGTTGTCCTTTGTTCTCAAAGAGGACCAAAATGACATCCCTCTGTTGGGGTCAATCAGACAATACGAGCTTGGAAGGCTCTGTCACACATTGGGCACAAGTAGTCCATATAAACATTTGGAGTGGAGATGTCTCTAAATTTGTGCATCTCATGTGTTTTTTTGAGTTACTGTGATTCTGCTTTGCTTAGCGAGCACAGTGCGTTCTTTGATTTGGGCATGCCATGCCGGGCCATCCTGTGCCAGTGTCTCACATGTTTCACAATTGATTCCGTAGTTCTTCAGAGAGACCTTGAGACTGTCCTTGCATTGATTCTTCTGACCTGCATGTGAATGCTTGCCTTGTGTGAGTTCTCTGTAAAATAGTTTTTTTAAAAAAAACTCAAATGTTATACTTTATATTTATCCCTATTCTATTTGATTTTATTAGATCGGACCCAATACTCTAGCCCAGGGGTGGGGAACCCGTGAACTCAAGGCCACGTGTAGCCCTCTAGCTTCTCAAGTGCGTCCCTTTGACTGAATCTAAACTTGCCAGAACAAATCCCCTTAATAAAAGAATCTATTTTGTAAAACTTAGACTCAGTCAAAAGGCTGCAGCGAAGGACCTAGAAGGCCACAGGTTCCCCATCCCTGCTCTAGCCTTTCACAATCTTTTCAAATCTTAAATCTGGTATATAATATGTTAGTAGTTGTCCCTTCTAGCTTTGTGTAAGCATGCCATCTTATACCTTTATCCACATTGCTGAAATGTTAAACAAATAAAAGCTGCATAGAGACCCCTGGAGTACTCCATTAGATACATCCGTCTGCAGAGACATCTGACCGTTATCTCTGTGCCAATTCTTTCAGAACATTCAGTCATTTCATCTCAGACAAGTGACTTGAAATTATTGAAGGAAACAGAATGTTCCTTCGTCGCTCTTTGTTTATCTTGGTTATCAGCTGCTATTAGCTATTTCTATTCCGTCCCTCCTAGTCCAAAGTTCATTTTCCTTGGAATACAAAAGCAGCAAAATAAGACTGGGACAGCTCTTCCTCCACCCATCCTTACTTATAGTTGTCCTGTCCTTTTTTTAGAGGTTTTTTCCTTTTGCAGCTTAAAAAAACAAAAAACAGTGCAAATCCTTTTTTTATTCTAACCATTTTTCTCCATCCATCCTTAGCTCATTTTGAACTTCAGCACTTCTGACTCTTCTTGCAGGACCATGCCATGTTTTCATATTCACTGTATGTACCTAAGATCAGTCAATCAATACACATTTATTAAGTTCCTGCTGTGTGCCAGGGACTGTGCTAAGTGTGGGCAATACAGAGAGGCAAAAGACAGTTCTGCCCTCGAGCTAATGAGGGAGACAGCATGCAAACAAATATGTGCGAAGTGAGCTATATATAGGATAAATAAATTATTAAAAGAGGAAAAGCACGAGAATTTAGAGGGGCCTGGGGAGTCTTCCTAATAGTAGTTTTCTCCATGTGTGATAGTTTACCTAGAGTTTTTTTTAATTTAATTTATTTTTTTAGTCTGTAAACAATTTTTTCAACGTGTGTTTTTAAAACTTTGGGTTCCAAATTTTCTCCCTTCCTCCCTCTCCACCCCCCTCATTGAAAAGGCAAGCAACTCAATACAGGTTATAGATGTGTAGTCATGCAAAACACTTCCATAGTAGTCATGTTGTGAAAAACTAAGTATATCCCTTCATTGTATCCTACCCCCCATTTATTCTATTCTCTCTTGTGACTCTGTTCCTCCTCAGAAGTGTTGCTTCTGATTATTCCCTCCCCCAATCTGCCCTCCCCTCTATCATCGCCCTGCTTTCTTATCCTCTTTCCCCCTTATTTTCCTGTAGGGTAAGATAGATTTCCATACCCAATTGTGTATATTATTCCCTCCTTAAGCCAAATCCTATGAGAATGAGATTCACTCATTCCCTCTCACCTTCCCCCATTTTCCCTCCACTGTAAAAGCCTTTTCTTGTCTGTTTCATGTGAGATAATTTACCACATTCTACCTCTCCCTTTGTCCTTCTCAGTATAGTCCTCTCTCACCCCTTAATTTTATTTTCCAGATATCACCCCTTCGTCTTCAACTCACCCTGTGCCCTCTATCTGTGTGTCTGTCTGTCTATCTATCTATCTATCTATCTACACACATACATATAATTTTTCCACTCCCACTACCCTAATACTGACAAAGGACTCATGAGTTACAAATATCATGCTTTCCATGCAGAAACTAGTTTCCCTAGGTTTTAGCAAAGCATTTGACATAACCTCACATAATGTCCTTGTACACAAAATGGAGCTTTGTGGGCCAGATTGAGTAGACATAAAGTTGAGTCATTAATTGGTCAAGTTGAGGGATTTCGCTAATACAGGGGTTCTCGGACTTTTTGGTCTCAGAACCTCTTTACACTGTTAAAAAATTATTGAGGATCCTCCTCCCCTGCTTTTGTTTGTGTTGATTATATCTATTGATATTTACCGTAGTAGAAATGAAAACATTTTAGTATTATTATAAAAATAACTTTGACCTCATGGATCTCCTGAAACGGTCTTAAGGACCCACGTCGTAGGTCCTAAACTAAACTTTGAGAACTTGCTGTTCTAATAGGATCCGTCAGTAATCTGTCTTTGACCCTGTGCTGCTTAATGAAAAGTAAATGGATAAAGCAGATAACATACTTATATCTAATTTGCAAGTAGTACAAAGCTGGGAAGGATCTGTAACTTGTTGGATTATAGAACCAGTTTCCAAAAAGATCTCAATTAACTAGAATGATAGGTTGAATCTAATGTGTTGAAATCCTATATTTGTGTTTTTAAGTCGACTCCAAGAATAAAATGGGAGACATATTTAGACATTAATTTGTGTGTTTTTTTTTAAAGATCCTGGGAAGTTTGTTGAACTGCAAAAGGGGGGATTAGCAAAATGTGGCAACCATTAAAGCTAATATAACTTTAGTCTGCTTTACGAGAAGTTAGTATGGAGGCAGCTAGGTTGCCCAGTGGCTAGAGCACCGGCCCTGAAGTCAGGAGTACCTGAGTTCAAATCTGACCTCAGACCAAACACTTGACACTTACTAGCTGTGTGACCTTAGGCAAGTCACTTAACCCCAATTGCCTTTAAAAAGAAAAGAGAGAGAGAGAGAGAGAGAGAGAGAGAGAGAGAGAGAGAGAGAGAGAGAGAGAAGTTAGTATCTAATAGCATGGAAGAATTATAGTCTTGCTGTACCCCATGTTGGTCATAGAGCATTGTGCCTAGTGCATAATGTTCAGTTTTGGGTGCCATATTTTATTTTATTTTGTTTTTGTTTTTTAAATTTATTTATTTTCAGTTTTCAACATTCACTTTCCTTAAGTTTTTTGTTGTTGTTATTGTTGTTTTTCTTTTGTGAGGCAGTTGGGGTTAAATGACGTTCCCAGAGTCACACAGCTAGTAAGTGTTATATGTCTGAGGCTGGATTTGAATTCAGGGCCAGCACTCTATCCACTGCGCCTCCTAGCTGCCCCCATAAGGTTTTGAGTTTTCAATTTTCTCTCCTTCCCTCCCCTTTTTCCTCCCCAAGATGGCATGCAATCTGTAACGTATTTTTGCATTAGTCATGTTGTAAGGAAGGATTAGAACCAATAGAAGGAACCGCAAGAAAGAGGAAACAAAACAAAACTGAAGGAAAAAAAATAGCTAATAGTATGCTTCCGTCTGCATTCAAACTCCATAGTTCTTTCTTTGGATGTGGATAGCATTTTCCATCATGAGACCTTTGGAGATGTCTTAGATCCTTGCATTGCTGAGAAGGGCTAAATCTATCAAAGTTAGTCATTGTACAACGTGGCTGTTACTGTGTACAACGTTCTCTTGGTTCTGCTCACTTCACTCAGCATCAGTCCATACAAGTTTTTCCAGGTTTTTCTGAAGTCAGCCTGCTCATCATTTCTTATAGCACAATAGTATTCCATTACATTCATATGCCACAGCTTGTTCAGCCATTCCCCAGTTGATGGGCACCCCTCAATTTCCAATTCTTTGCCACCACAAAAAGAGCTGCTATAAATATTTTTCTACATGTGGGTCCTTTTCCCATTTTTATAATCTCTTTGGGGTATAGCCCTAGAAATGGTATTGCTGGGTCAAAGGACAATTTTATAGCCCTTTGGGCATAGTTCCAAATTGCTCTGCAAAATGGTTGGATCGGTTCACAACTCCACCAACAGTGTTATTACTATTCCAATTTTCCCACATGTTCTCCAACATTTATCATTTTCCCGTTTTGTCATGTTAGCCAATATGATAGGTGTGATGTTGGGTGCCATATTTTAGGAAGGACTAAGATAAGCTGCTCCTATATTAATAAACTTAGAGGAGAGTAGGATAGTGTGACGTATTAGCTGTCTTAAAGTATTTTCACATGGAATAGGAATTATGCATTTTTCCTTGGCCCCTGGAAACAGAACTAGAAGCAAGGGAGAAATCAGATCTGTCACTTACATGGTGTTTTAAGGTTTGCAAAGCTCTTTACATACATTTTTTCATTTGTGCTTTCTCACACCCCTTTGAGTTAGATTACTGGTACTATTATTCCAATTTCACATTCGAGGGACATTGAGGCTCAGAGAGACAAGTGACTTGTTCAGGGTTATATAGTGTCTAGTAAATGTCAAGATGTGAAAGCTGTTCTTTCCAACTGTGAGATTCTGTATGAATGAACAAATACTACCATCTTGTCCTTAAGGACAGCAGGAGAGACTTTCCTGCTTTGCAGTATAGATTGATTGCTCTTCCTTATTTTTTTCTGTACTGAATTGGTTCTTTATAACATGCTGCCAAAGCAGTCATTTCTCCCTTAATACTGTCATTTCTATAATGGTTCATTTTTCTGGTCCAGTTAGGTTCTGTTCAATGATTTATCTTGATGATTTGATTAGCAAAATTTCTGAGTTTTATATATATTCCTGTGAAATTATTATGTATAACTTAGAAAAGTGAGCTATCCCATTGGATCTCCTTCCCTTAGTTACTGCTTTGGATTAGTAGTCTGAGCCTCTTTACTTTATGTGAAGGTGTTGCTGGGTTTAAGGGAGGCTCAGAGAGCTACAGATTCTCTTTGCATCATTTACCAATTGAGAACTGGAAGGGTGTAGGGGAAGGGGCAGTTGTGCTCACCAGATGGTGGCAGGGTGTTTGAGGCTGCAGCTTTTATACTATATGTTATACTATCCTATATGTTTGCTGTACTGCTATGTATATAAGCATATAGTATGATCTATGTCAGTCTCCTGACTTGTAAGCTACCTGATTTTGTTCTGTTGTTTCTTTTTGGGTGGTAGTTTTTATATAACTGATGCGGGGATTATGACATGTAGATAATCTCACTTTGCCAGTTAGCATGTGTTAATAAAATATTTAGATGTTGAGCTTTGTTCATTATAAACAGTTTGGAGTTTAATTAGTGATGGTTTTTGGTTTTTGTAGGATATGGAACCTGGAACTCTGGGACAAACAGAGGCAAGTATGATGTAAAAAAAAATTTTTTCCCTTGAGACTAAACCAGTGGTATATTCACTTTGGCTCTTTTGTCCCAGGTATAAATATAAAAGTTCTTGAAGAACTAAGTGGTTTCTAATGTGATTTGGCAGTTAAATCTGTGCCAGAGCTTGCTACATTCAGATTTCTTCCTCTTCTCTCCCTCCTCCCCCCACCCACCCGCTCAAAAGCCTATTTTTATAAAACCCAAGTCCACCATAAAATTGTTGTATTTTCCAGTATACATGCCATTATGTTTTCCTTTTGAAGAGTTATCCTTTTAGGTCTGTAGTTGATTCAGACCAGTTTGGTGATGAGCTTTTGGATACACCACTGATCTCTTTCTGTGGAGCTAATATAGTTCCTTAAGTGAGTTTTGACCAGAGACTCCAGGTTGGAATAGTTATAAACCAAGAGGCCAGCTTAAAATGGACCTGCCTCAGATTGTGTGACTGGAGTTGTCCATATCTCTTGTTACAGGTTACGAGAGCTATAGTTATGGATATGGATATGGTCAGGATAACACTACCAGTTATGGGTATGGTATGGCCAGTTCAAACTCTTGGGAAATTCCCAACTCCGACACAAATACAAACCCTAATGCTTCTGCTAGCACCGGTACCGATAATGTTCTGTCCAAAATTAACCAGCGCTTTGATGTGGTGTCTCACGTAGAAACGGACATGATGCAAGGAGCACTATATGGCTCAGGTGGAGACAGGTGAGTGTAGCTGTCAAGGTGAGACTGTTCAGTAATAGGATGTAGTAGTCGATGATTTCAGTCAGCTGTTGCTCCCTGTGTACTTTTTTCACCACCTTGGTTAGGTTTTTAGATTAGGTTCAGGCATATTTTTTCTTTTCTTTTTTTCCCCCTTCTTCTTACTTCCCAAGTGTGGCATGAAACCCAAGCAGAGGTGGTAGATAGTCTCCATCTCAACTTAGAGACAATAACAGATTATAATCTGCTTTCCTTCTTCCAGAGAAGCAAGGACCATGGATTTGGCATGAATGGTGACGTCAGTTTAGCATTCTAGTTCCATTGAATGTATATGAAATCAGTAAAATGATTTGTGTTTGCTTAGTTGCCAGTTAATCCAGGAAGTTGTAACATTAAGACCTACTTTGTGCAGAATCATAGGTGGTGCAGCAGTTACAGTGCCGGGCCTGGAATCAGGAAGACTCATCTTCCTGAGTTCAAATATGGCCTCAGACACTTACTAGGGCTCTGGGACCCTGGGCAAGTCACTTAACCTTGTTTGTCTCAGTTTCTTCATCTGTAAAATGTTCTGGAGAAGGAAATGGTAAACCACTCCAGTATCTTGCCAAGAAAACCCCAAATGAAGTCATGGAGAGTTGGAGATGACTGAACAACAAAATGTTAGACAATAGGGAGATGTAAAATTAGTACTTAATCTGTGCTCCTAAGGGTTTTGGGGGGGGGGAAGGTGTAATTTATCCATGTTTTTCTAAAGATTATTTGGAATTTTCTTGGAAACCACGTGTACCATCAAAGTCAAATTAGAAAAAGGCTGTTCAGATTAGGGCAGAGCAAAGAATGTGGAGAAAGCCCTAGAGCCCTAAGATAGTTTTAAAGCATCGGCAGAAACTGTCTCTGTTGTTTTGAAGATGAAACACTAATTTATAGTGGATCTTGCACAGAAGCTTTCCTTAGTTTGGAGGTAAATTGGAATGCAGGGCGTCCTGGCCCCAACAAATGGGTCTGACACTTGGTAGTTGGGGTTATCCTTGCATTGCAATAAAGCCAAATGCCTTGGGCAGCCTCTTGTGTTTGTTTTTGTAATAATGACCCTCCTTCCCTTTTGAAACAACTTCTTGTAGAGATGAGACTGGTAACTGGGTCACTAACTTTTAAGAAGAAACTGGTTGGACAACGTGATGAATTTGAGCCAAGTTTCTGCTTCTTTCTCGGCACTCCTGCTTGGTTATTGATCACACACTGGTTGTTTATGTTGGGTATTAACACAGCCAGTCTTTGTTCTTGTAGTGGCACACCTTGAGAATCTGGTTTGAGGAGAATATGCTTCATAAGCTGTTTTCAGAACTTTGTTTGTGGTAGATAAATGGCAGGGTTCTTCTTTGGTATTTAGGCCAACTTTGAAGTCAGAAAGAGCTATGCTTCTTACTCAGCCATTGTGCTTTTCTTATTTTCGTATCCTTGCTGTTAAATTTAGCAGCTATTAGGGTTTGTAGCCTTGTTAGTTTCCGATAACGAAATCATCTTTTCTATGCCTGTGTTTCATGAACTTACTGGAGAGTCTGGGCTTTTAGGAACAGTTAATCAGCCTTTTCTGTTGGTCTTCCACAAGCTGTGCTGCATTCTTTTATTAAACAGTTGATGATATTTAGTATCTATAGTATGTCTTGCTCAGATGAAGGTAAAGATCTATCTCAAATTGTTGGAAAGGCTTTGTGAAATTTGGAAAACAAGATTGCTCTTTCTGTCATTTCCCTACCATCAAAGGGAATTCTTTTGGGTGTTAGGGCTTTACAATGTATGTAGGAATAGCCCTAGAGTTCCTTTATTGAATTGGAATGGGAAGCTGAAGCTTTTAGGTTTAGAATGTTTCTTTTACCTGTTATCTTTCCTAGGGAAGGTTACCATGACCAAAGTAGCAATATATACAGTAGTAAAAAGGGCCTTGCTTCCTAAGTGCTTGATTTTGATACTGTCTCTTTAATTTGTTTCTCTGAATATTTAGAGCTTCTGTGGAGAAGCAGGGAAATTGGTCTTTGTAAGTATGGGAATAAAAATTGTAACTCAGATTTGAGTTGGTAGAAAAAGAATGAAGCTGGTCTTTAGTAGCTTAGGGATTTCTCTGCCTCTGCCATCTTTGAACTGGCCAGAAGCATTTGACTCTGCTTTTTAGGACTTTTATTTTCCCTCTGATCTAGCAACTGAAGGGTTTGATCATAGAGATGAAATTTTAAAGTGAGAACATGTCACTTGGGTGCTGTTGAAGCCATCAGAGCTCTCAGATGATTTAGCTACAATGTCTGTGTTGCAGGTCCTTCCTGCTTAGTCTGAAACTGCTCAGTTTTACTGTTTATGAGGGGAAAAGTAGTTTTTGTTCTGGTAGGCCACTTAGCTATATATTTGTTGTGCACTGTCCTGGCCTCTATATTCTTGAGTCCTTCCCAGGTCACTGACGCAATACTGTGCGCCTCTTGCAGGTATGATTCCTACGAAGCATATGACTCCAGGGCTGCACTGAGTGACCGTGATCTGTACAGATCCGGCTATGACTACAGTGAGATTGACCCTGAAATGGAGATGGCCTATGAAGGCCACTACGATGCCTACCAGGATCATTTCCGAGTCCGTGATGCTTTTGGCCATCGGGCACAGGGCTGGGCCAGAGATAGCCGAACTAACCGGCCTATGGCTACAGGCTATAGGCACATGTGGGATGACCCCATGGGGGCCCGGGGCCAATGTGTGCCAGGTTCGTCCCGCCTCCCATCCCTCTTCTCTCAGAACATTATTCCTGAATACGGCATGTTTCAGAGCATGAGAGGCTCCTATGGGAACATGCGATTTGGCTTCGGACTTGGCAATGGGATGAAACAAATGAGAAGGACCTGGAAGACCTGGGCTACTGCAGACTTCAGGGTAAGGACTGTTAACACCCCTTAATTGGGCACTGAAGACAAGGACAACTCATTGAATGTGGAACAGCTCAGTGTTATATACACGCATTTGTCGTTGGCCAGGCCCTGTCTAAATCAGGAAAGTGGCTCTATCGTGTATACTTGGCCCCATCACCGTTTTAAAATTGGGCACCATGGCTCATTTGGTGTATTAACTAATCCTTTTTACTCAATGTTGGGTTTTCCTTTTCATCTGCAGAATAAAAAGAAGAAGAGAAAACAATCCAATAGCATCGATGAGCCTGACGGCAAAGCAGCTAAGACGGATGGTTCTGAGAACAGTGACTCCGACAATGGTGAGATGCTGCCAGTCAGTCGCTCGTTCCTCACTTGTTCCCCTTTTGCATAATAAGCTGAATCCTGACTCCTGAGATTCTGCACTCCTCTTTCAGATGAGGGAACTGAAGGTGAAGCAGCAGAAGGAACAGACGCCCCTGATATGGCCAGAAAGAGCTCCAGAGGAGTAAGTGGTTCTTTGGGACACTTGACTTTCTTGCCCCATGTGTTCTCCTAGACAAAAGGTGGCCCTGCCTGGGTGCATAGCCAGCCAGCCAGCCCGCTGCCAACTTGAATTTGAGCATGGAAGCATAGAAGAAAGACTACAAACTGGGTAGAAGAGACCTCTGACTTTGGGAAAAGCTTATTTGTTATTATGGTGGACAGTCCCCAAAATGCTGGCCCCGTTTGAGTATAGAAACCTGTAGGATTTTATAGAGCCTGTTTGTGCATAGGTTTGGATCTTTTGAATTTTCAGGAAGGAGAGGTGGAGGAAGGAAAAGAAGATGGGAAGGAAGAAGGGAAAGAAGACGCTGAAAAAGGTGGGTGTATGTTTGAGAGCTTTGTAGTCATAATTGGACATTCCCCTCTTAGAAAAGACCATGTAGGTACTGGCAGCTTAAGTGGGCACAGCTGTGGGGAGGTGGTTCTGGGACTTGGCAGGGTGTTGATGCTAATACTTTCAGCTTGCCTGTGACCCACCCTTCTGGGCTGGTTGTACTGTTGTATGCACTTAAGCATAAATCCTCTTCTCTATTGAGCCAGAGGCTAGGGCTAGTGTTGGGCATAGCCAGCCACCTCTGACCTATTGTCTGCTCTCCAATATCTCCAGATAAGCCAGGTAGTTTGGGGTAGCCCAAGGAATACATACCCCTGCCACAATCAGGTACATGGCCCTATGACTCCTACCATTCCCTGGTCCCATAGTGACACCCACTTGCAAGTTCTTCTCAGTGGCTGGCAGTTGTTGACGTCCGAGCCGTGGCCCCCTCGTTCCAGTTTTTACGGCTCTGGTTTGCGTGTCCTCTCCCTTAGCGCCTCTCCAGCCCCAGTTGGGAGTCCGTGTCCCCCCACCCGTGTGATGAGCACCAGCAGGTACCAAACAGCAACTCCAGTGTTGGCCACTGTTGCCTCGCTGACTGGTTGGGGTTGGGTGGGCGAGGCATTTTAAGCGTTTCCTATAGCTATCATTGGCTGCTACTGTGTCACTCCCTGTGGCCTCCATCGTGCTGAATTGGCCACTGAACTATCGTCAGGGTTGTCATGAAGCTACCCACTAACCCCTTTGAATTCCCGAGCTGCTGTGTTTTGGTAAAGCTGTGGGGTTGGGAACTTGGGCTCAAACATGACAGAGAGTGGGGGTTTCATAAGCTCTCTGGGGCCCACTAGAGGTCCTTCCTAAGCGCAGCAGGAAGAGAGGTGGGTGAAGCACCTTGGGAAGCTGTGGGTAGCACAGAACCAGGACAGGGTCACCTCTCCCTTTTCCTCCCCAGCTGTTATCTCTACATTCAGCTCCCTGGACGTGGAAAGGTACTTGGGGTCCCCTGACTCTTCAGGTTGGACTTTAGTAGATGTTATCAAATGAATGCCACCAGCTCTGGTTGGTAGCTGGGAGGAAGAAGGGCGATAGAATCTGCCTTTTATGCTGCAGAATAGACGTGATGATTATCCTGATTTTCCTATCCCTCTTGATCTCACAGGAGCATTGACCATTCAGGAGGAAATCAGTCAAATCAAACGCAAATTACAGGCTGGCAAGAAGACCCAGGAGAAGCAGAAGAAACGACAGCGAGACCGCATGGTGGAAAGGTAACACTTTGTATTTTTGTTTCATCTGCCAACCTCTGCCCTAGCAACTCGGGGCTGGCCAGGGGTTCCAGCAAGCGCCGTTTCCTCTTCCCCATGGCTAGCCTTCCTGGCAGCCACAGGCAACCCACCTTCCCAGGGCAATTGGGGTCTTTCAGGAGATGAATGATGTACTCCACTCCTGGCCTGGCCCTGCCTCTTCGTCTCTCCCTCTGGCCTTTCAGTGGGGCCCAGTGTTGCCCTGGCAGCTGGCACCTGCTCTTCTGTGCATGGACCCTGCTTCCCACCAGTCAGGGCTTACAAGGCCCTGGTTGCATACCTAAGAGCCTGAATTGTCCCCCCTGCCCCCCAGAGGCCGCCTTGTAATGTTTCTGCTTCTCCGGCTCGGGACCTGACACTGCTTGGCATTGTTGCCCAGAAGCTCCAGCGCTTAGGTCACCGAACATGCCCAGAGGTGCTGTGGGGGCCCCTGGCCCCCAAGGGAGGGGGCCAGCTCATCAGAGACTCTGAGGCATCTCTCCAGCCCAAACCTGTGGCCAAGTGGCTACTACCATGCCTGGGAAAGACTGAAACACCAATGGGGGAATCTCGGGAGCTTTGGGCCCTGCCCTTATGCCCAGTCTATGGCAGAAGTTCCCACATTTCCGTGACTTGGTGCTGGAGGGGCCAGTCTGCCTCAGGCCCGTGTCCGGCAGGTGGCTGAGCCCTTTACGCCCCTGCTGTCGGGTCTATTTGCCCTCAGGGCCCCCGAACTGGTGTTTGCCTCCGACTCAGACTCTTGCTCTTGCTGGATCTTCCTCGGCCAAGCCGGCGCCGGGCCCCTGGGCTCTCCAGACAAAGCTGTTCCCGTGGCCCAGATATGGACGGCAGAGGTAGGAACCCGTCCTGAGGCCTTGGTGGAGGCCAGCTTCCTCCGTCCCCTGCCACGGCCACCGTTGCCTCTCGGCTCAGGCCCCCAACCCCCCCCAGGGGAACCTGCTGTGGACAGCCTGGCCCTGACCACCTCAGTATACAGGTGGCTTCCAGCTGCCATCATGCTGGGCACCCTCCTTCCAGGTCAGACTTTTTTTGTTCTTGGAAGAGGAAGATGAGGCAGCAGGCACCAGAGGCTGGGCTGCATCCAGCCCCTCCTTCCCTCCCTCCTTCCACCACACCTAGGCTCTCTGAGCTGCGGATGGGGTGGGGTGGTGAGCCGCAGGAAGACACAGCACCTCTCAGCGGGCAGTGGCTCAGGACTGATCTCTTCTCTCTGCACCATGGGGCCAGATCCTCCAAGTGTGGCTGCCCTCCCCTCCCCTCCCCTGGCCCCAGTTCCTCCTAGGTGTTCTGCTTACTTTCTTGGAGAGATCTACCCGACCACCCTGCTGGCACCTTTCCAGCTAGTCTTTGTCTCTCTGAGAAGTAGCTGATTTCCCTGAGTCTAGACCAGCCATAGCATTGCCTCCAGTGATTAGCTCTTCCTGTCTATGGGAAGAATATTCCTATATTATCCCTTAGAGAAGCCAGTAAAACCTGCTTTATTTAGCTAGTAGTACAGTTTTAAAAATTCTCACCTGTTCTCCACTCTGCACTGTGACGTAATTCTTCCCTCATGGTGTCAATGTCCCTTCTTGAAGAAGAATGGGAACTGGTTTCAGAACTTTTGAGATTCCCCCTCCTGGGGCCTCAGAGTCCCATAAAGAAGCAATTTGAGTATCAGAACCTGTAGCCCCAACCCATTTCTGAGGTTTGCTCTCTTCGTGGTTCAGGGACCTGGTGCTGGTAGTAGCACCCTTGATGCAGACGTTGTTTGACCTCTGTTCTTTCTTCTACCAGGATCCAGTTTGTGTGTTCTCTCTGCAAATATCGGACCTTTTATGATGATGAGATGACCAGCCACTTAGACAGCAAGTTCCACAAGGAACACTTCAAGTTTGTAGGCACTAAATTGCCAAAACAGACTGCAGACTTTTTGCAGGTGATCTTCTCTTTTGATTCTGGGGTGCATTGGGTATTTATCATCTTTCCCCTTTTTTGCTGGGGAATGGGACTGCTTTGACCTCTTTCCATTCTGCTCCTAAACACAGAGAAAACTGCAAATTTTAGGGTTTATTATCCAGACTAGGCAGGAGAGATCATCATCACAAAACCAAAAGGAAATGCCATGACCAAGAGAGTGCCCCACGTACTTGATATAGAAGTCTGTTTCCTTCTTTTTTGTTTTTAGGATTTAAACAAAGCAGATACACACTCCCTGTCAATCTTGGCTTTTTCAGTTATAGATATCCTGATAATTCCTGTTTGGCACTTCCAGGAATATGTTGCTAACAAAACCAAGAAGACAGAAGAACGTCGCAAAACCATTGAGGACCTAAATGGTGTAATCCAGCAGATCTATAAAGATCAAGACCTTACTCAAGGTGAGTGTCAACTCTCCTCTTTCCACCATGGTGAGCTAAGGGATAGCTCGGTCTGCCTTAACTTGGGCTGTCCGTGTAAGCCGTTTTTTGGCCCTTATTTTGGGTCCAAGTTAGAGAAGATTCCCATGATCTTTATGATAACTAAGAAGTCTTTCCTGAGCCTGAAGTACCTGGGGTTAATTCTTGGGGTGAAAGGGAGGGAAGAGAAGACTAGGTTTGTTGAGGCCTCTGATAGAACTAAGGCATCTGTTTTGTTAGAGTTCGGTGACTGGGCCTAAAGGGCTCTCTGTTTTTGTAATTGGAGAGGGACTTTGTAGTAGCAATCAGTGGGCCCCTCTTACTTTTGGGATTAAATCTAGCCCAGTAGGGATACTGGTGGGAATTGGACATCAGCAGCTCTTTCTCTTGCAGAGATTGCTATGGAGCACTTTGTGAAGAAAGTGGAGGCAGCTCACTGTGCGGCCTGTGACCTCTTCATTCCCATGCAGTTTGGGATCATACAGAAACACCTCAAGTCCATGGAACACAACCGAAACAGAAGAGTGAGTGGAATGCTTTGGTGCTACCCTATACCTAGTCAAGAAAGCATTGAATTGTGGTGGTGGCAGTGTTAGATTTAAAGGCAGATAACTTGGCTTTACATCTGTTTACAGCACTTCCTGATTGTGTGACCATGGGCAAGTTGGTTTTCCTCTGCATTTCCTTTTTTTTTCCCCCTGTAAAATTAGAACAATAATTCTTGCCCTCTACTAAAGTTCTACTCTGATATCTTTTTCGAGGTGATTAGAGATTCTCCAAGGCCAAGTGGACAGAGCCTCCCAAGTTGGAAAGACTTTAGGCTGTGGGCCTACTGACAAATTTATAAATCTTTAAGGATCGGCTACACTTGGAGAGGCACATCACCAGATTACCCATAGGGTGATATACTTTTAAGCCACAGCAGAGACATCGTAGTGTAGTAGAAAGTGCCGAATTTGCAGTCTAGTGACTTGGATTATAATTTGGCCTTGAACACCTACTAACTTTGTGAACGTGGGCAAGGCATTGGAACTCTTATCTGAAAATGTGCTACCTACCTCACGGGCTTGTAAAAAAAAAAAGTGCCTTATAACTTTTACATGCTATAGAGATAATGAATTGGGTTTTAGTAGTTACATGAAGCTCCTGACCTTTGGCTTCCTGGGAATTGAACTGTTAGGATGGTTCCAACTACTCAAATGGGTTCTATTCTTTTTTTTTTTTTAGCTCATGATGGAACAGTCCAAGAAGTCCTCACTCATGGTAGCTCGAAGTATCCTGAACAATAAGCTCATTAGCAAGAAGCTAGAACGCTATCTTAAGGTAATCAGGCATCTGCCCTCCAACACGTGTGCACTTGCACATCTATGTTTTTGGCCCAGTACTCTTTCTGGGCTAATCTCAAGCTTGGGGATGGAAAGTCATGACTTTCCTCACGCCTCCAATTTGGTATATGCCTTCAGATCTTTTGGGAAAGGGGTAGGGACTAAGAAGATCCTAGTCTTTGTTGAATGGAGGCAGATGGGATCCTGGCTTTCCCCCTGGTGAGGGCAGTAGAGATGATGGTAAAGGGAAGGTTTGGTAATTTAGGGAGCAGGATTGCTTGGGAAAGTAGTACCAATGGACTGGTGTGTGTTTGTCGTCCTCAGGGTGAGAATCCCTTCATGGATGACCCCGAAGAAGAAAAGGAGCAAGAAGAAGGAGAGGGCAGTGCTATAGAAGAAGGAGTGGCTGAAGGGGAAGATGAGAACAAAACCAAGGAGAAAAGCATTGCAGGACAACTTGAGCTTCAGGCTGGGGACCAGAACCAGCAGCCTGAAGTAACAGCAAGGGCTGGTGACCAAACCCCAGCCAAGAGTTTGGTAGAAGAGCAGTCAGGCTTGGAGCTACCCCCAGAGGAGGAATCAGGGCCCTTGCTAGGGGTTGCCTTGCAGCAGCAGGTCCGGGGCATCCCTGGCCTGGATGTGGAAGCTGATGATGATGAAGAACGAAGGAACCATGCTTCAGGGAAGAAGTAGGAGAGCACTCAGACCTGTTTTAGAGCCATCATTAAATCTTTTTAATGGGGTGTGAGAATTGCTAACACCCACCTGGATACTGATTCTTATTCTGGCCCTTAAAAGCCTGGCCTCTTTTTTGGTAAATGGTTATGGAAATAGGGTTTGGGGTTTTTTTGTTTTTGTTTTCGGTTGTTGTAGCAAGGGGTAATGGGGCAGGAAGGAGTATAGAGGATTGAGTGTTTTGAAACCCCATCTACACTAAATCTCAGTTTTGTGCCCCTTGAGTTCTGAGGTATCTTTAGGAACATCATCTTTTATTGTATCTGCAGCAGGGTATGTGAAAAACTGTTGGCTCCTGGTCCTCTTCCTTAGGCAGCTTTGTATGTAACTAAAAGGTAGGTTGGTTCTGGGTTTGAAAGGGCTCTTTCCTGTGTTTTAGTTCTGCCCTAGGTCCCCACAACAGCACTGCCTATTTCGTTATTTTGTTTTAATCTCTTCCTTTTGCTGCAAAGTCAGAGTCAACATCATATTGTTTGTAAAAATTTTAAATAAATGTTCAGTCACAACTGATAAAAGTCTTAACCTTAGTCTTTTGCTTGGAGGGAATGATTGAGGCTGGGCAGTCTTTGGGGAGAAAAAATAAAAAATACTTGCTTTTAATGATTTTATTAAGTGCCTACTCCTCAGAGCTCTGTGCTAAGGTTGCACTTAGAACCCTAGCTCAAACTAAGGTGTTTATCCAAAAAGAAGTTACAAAATAAGTATGGAGAAGATTGCATTCAGGGTCTTATGAGGAAATGCTTCCTTAGATAGTTGAGTTCTGAGTTGGGATTTAAACATGAATAAACAGAAGCGACAAGCAGAACATATAGGTGAAGTGGAGATAGACTAGGCGTAATGTCCTTCCCTACATTAGCTTTGACAGAAAAATCAGAATGCCCTTTAGTTAGTAGAGCTTGCTTCTAATGAGGTTTGGCTGCATTCAAGGGAGACACACGTAAGATAGCCTAGGCCCTAGTGAAGGTGTGGCACAAACAAGGGCATATGTAGTCATGGGGTGCGATTGAAGAAGGGGGTTCTGGGGACAAGGGGCTGACATATGATGGCTAGCTTCCAAGGCATGTCATGTGGAAAAGAGAAGAGACTTGTTCTGCTTAGTCTGAGAGGAACATACTTGAAGCACTGAACAGAGACACATTTAGCCTGGAGCTAAAGAAAGATTCCCTAACTGCCCAAAAGTAAAATTATATTGCCTCATCCAGAAGGTGTAATGGGTTTCCCTTCACAGGAAGACTTTTTTTTTTTAAGAAGCTGACTGGTCCCCTCTTGGGGATGCCTAGCATCGTGTAGGCATTTAATTAAAGTTAAGTTATGTACTCAATAGCTTAGTCACGACAAACCTCCCTTGCTTAATGCCCCCATCTAGGGGCAGCTCAACCCTGTCCTTTAACTCAGAACCCTCAGGTCTGAAGGATGCTGTGTGGGAAAGGTCCAGGAATTGGGAAGCACAGCAACTGAGAAGGTTGTGGAGGAGCCGAAGCCTGACGTTGCATTCCAGGGCTGGGCATCGGTAGCAGTGAAGGGGGTTCTGTATCGTTCTGTCCCCTGGGCATCATAGGAAGGAAGAAGAGATGCTGTTGGCTCCAGACTGCGGGAGCAAGGGTACTGTAGTTTTGGAACAAGTTGAAAGTAAACTTTTCTGGAAGAAAGTACGTCGTTCCTAAGGCCTTCCTTGCCATAGTTTCCACGACGCCGTCTCCCTAGCCCAAATCCTGTCCTGCCTGCAGGTAGCGTTGCCCAGCCTGGAAGCGCCGCTCTGCCTCCCCAATACCTGTGGAGACTGCGCACTCGAGCTTGGGAAGGCGGGGCCAAGCGCTAGGAGACTGCCAGGGGCATTTCGGACAGGGGAAGGAGGAGGCGGTGCGTGGAGCACCCAATAGCCTTTCGGCGAGGGCGGGGGGAGGAGAAGAGGAGTTAACGCATGCGCAGTGTTGCTGTCGAGGAACAGGAACTCTTGGCTGGCAGTAGACTCGACATGGAGACAGGATACGGAGGTGGGTTCAACAGGAGGGAGTTAGCGGCGGCAGCCGGAACTCTGTCTTGCAAGCTCCCTAGCCGGACAGAGATGCAGGGTACCCGAGGGGTTATCGGGGTGGAAAGCAGGCAGTCGGTGTCGGGGTTATGTCAGCGTTAGGGAAATTTTAATCTTACGGGGCGGGGGTGGGGATGGGGAGGGTGTTAATCGGCTTTCTGATTGGTAGGGATGGCTGTCTCTCCGCTAGACCTCGCTTGGATTGGCCCGCTGTGCGCCGAGGTGGCCTGGCTGCCCTTGCCGGGCCTTATTGCCTGAGAGCTGAACGGCGGGGAAGGGAAGGGGATGTGCCACGGCATGGCTGAGGAGCTAGTCCAACCGGTGATGCTTAGCGGCCTAGGCTGCCCTCTGCTCTCCCCGCGGGCTCAAATGGACGCCTCCCCTTTCTGGAAGGGACACAAAATGGCGGCTGCGGAAGGCCCCTCCCTCGAGTCCGACTCCGCCTCCTTCACGTGTCTCCTTCCGCGTGCTTCGGGAGTCAACGGGAGACCCGAGAGGAACCGAACCGCTAGTCCTTTTGGTAGATTGCAATTAAGGGACTTGCCTGGGCCCACCCAGCTTTTAAAAGTCTGTGTCCATTTATTCTGAGTAGATATATAATCTTGCGTAAAGGATTGCAAAGCCATGTACGTGTTCTTATTTTTTCCTTACAGTCTCCCCCCCCCCCAGGTAGGTGCTATTGTTATCCCCGTTTTTTGGATGGGGAAAGTGTGGCACAGAGATTAAAGGACTTAAGCAGGATCACGAAGCTTAGTAAGTGTTTTATGCAGGACTTGAAGTCAGATATTCTTTGAACTGCACATCCTACCCTCTCAGACGAATATTTTTGCACTCTGGGTCGATTCAAAAAACAGAATCCTCCTCTCTAATATTGGGGTTGAAGGAGTGGGGACCATGATGAAAAGTGAGAATGAGCATGATATATTGAGTCAGAAAAGAAATTGCCGTGATTGGAAAGGGGCGAATCCCTGTAATTGTAAGAAGAAAAATGTTAGGTAGATTGAGGACAGGTCAAGGAGGAGCTTGAATACCAGTCTTAATCGCAGTTTCTGGGAATAGATTTAAGATTAGTGGGAGTGTAGAGATCTCTAGTCCCATTATGCGCGTGGACAGACTGAGGTAGATAGATAAAAGACTTGAGTAGGGTTGCAGTTAATAAATGTCTGAGGCTGGATTATATTATACAAATACCAAATTTTTTCTGTGGAGGTATGGGGAGGCTAACTGGGGATCTCATGGAAACCTCCTGAGTTGTGCTTTGAAAGAAGGTGAGGGTTATTCTTTGAAGTTTAGTTGGGGACCGAGAGCATAACGCCAGTATGGTAGCCAGGTAGGTTTTGAATTCAAGTCTTTCTCCAAGGCCTCTTGCTATGCTGCCTCTTCACGATATAGAAAAAAGAATAATGAGAGGACAAGTAGTTCACTTAAAAAGAAATCCAGCAATGTAATCCTTGCCGTAAAGGCACCAAGTTTTAGTGTAAAGAGTACAGGTTTGGGAGTCAGCAGACCTGAGTTTAAATTTCAGTTCTGTAGCTTGCCATTTGTGTAATTTTGGGCAAATTATTTAACCTCTGATCTTCAGTTTTCTAATCTGAAAAATGAGGAAGTTGGACTAGACCATTGGTCAAAGTCAAGTAGAAATGAGGCCACTATATATGTAAGGATCCCTGCGTGCTGCATGTTGACTTAGGAAACCACATATTTACATTATTTATGTTCTATCATATTTTATTTATTTTGTTAAATATTTTACAAATTAATTTTAATCTGGTTATTGCTGCTAAAAGGTGTGTGTTTGATACCTGTAGACTACGTGACTTTGAACAACATTTCTAAGTGTATGATCCAGTGACTTGGAAGTATGTATACAAATAATAAGCAGAATGGGTACTAAACAAGGTAAATGAGTTAGTAATGCAAAAAAGGTAAATTTGGCCTCATAGCTATCCTTGTGAACTAATGAGATGGGTCTCATTATTAGAATAAGGTACCATATGGGTATAATCTTGAGAAGAAATTTGAAACTGTTTGGAAATTTTGGATTGCTTCTAGTATCTAATACAAAATGCACTTTTTGGCATTCAGAGTCCTTCAAAACCTATCCGCCTCTTACCTTTCCAGTCTTTGTTACACCTTTAGTCCCTAGTACTGGCCTACTGGCTGTTCCACAAACAAGGCATTCCATTTCAGCTCCAGGTGGTTTTTCTGACTGTCTTCTGTGTTTGGAATGGTCTCTTTCAACACAGCCTACTGATTTCCCTGGCTTCATTTAAGTCAGTTAATCAACTAAAATCCCATCTTTTACCAGCAGCCTTTCCCAATCCCTCTTAATTCTTGTGCCTTCCTTGTTAATTATTTACTATTTATCCTGTATATCACTTACTTTGTATATATTTGTTTTCTTGTTGTCTCTCCCCATTAGATTGTAAGCTCCTTGAGATCAGGAACTGTTTTTTACTTCTTTTTGTATGCTTATCACTTAAGCACAAGAGGTTTACAAATAGAGGGTGCTTAATAAATGTTTATTGCTTGATTGAATCAAAGAGAGAAATTGGTGGGTTGAATGTGGCAGAGCTGTGATCACCTAGAGGGTGGTTTTTGAATCCATGGGAGTTGATGAGATTACCAAGTGAAGGAAGAAGGACCCAGGATAGAGGGAGAAAAGAAGAGGACTCAGGATAGAGCCCTGTGGGACACTTGTTAGCCTGCATGACTTTGATGAAGATCCAGGAAAGGAGACTGAGAAGGAATTGTGTCTGGCTGGAGAACCAGGATAGAGTAATATCATGAACATCTAGAGAGAATAGAATATCAAAGAAAAGAGGATGCCAGATAGTGTCAAAGACTGCAGAGAAGTCTAGAAGAGATTAAGGCGTTATTAGAGCAATTTTGGTTGAATGATAAGGTTGGAAGCCAAAACATAGAATTAAGAAGAATGAGAGGAAAGAAATAAAAACATTGGTTATAGAGAGCTTTCTCCTAGAGTTTAGTTACAAAAGGGAGGAAAAATATAGGATAATAGCTAGCCAGGATGATCAAGTGAGGGTTTGTTTGTTTTTTGTCTTTTGAGGATGGAGGCAACATAGGTATATGTAGTCAAATAGCCAGTAGACAGGGAGATTGAAGGTGAGAGGGAGCAGTGTGCTGGAGATGGTAAGATTAGATGGAGTCCCTTGTGCCTGTAGAGAGGGTTATCTTGGCAAGAAGGTCTACCTCTTTATGTGAGGAGAGTGATGGAAAAGAGAATGTCAGAAGACAAATTGTTGAGATGAGGAAAGGAGGAGAGGGGAGCACTTGGTGCATGGCCTCAATTTTTCCAGTAAAATGAGGCAAGATTCTCAGCTAAAAGGAGGTGGGAAGCCCTGGAAGATTTGAGGAGGGATGAAAAGCTTTGAAAGAGCTACCGTGGTGACTGGGATAGTGTAGTGAGTAGGGAAGTGTAAAAGTATTGTCTTGTAGTGTGAGGGCCCAGTTAGGTTATATGACAAAT